TTAAGATAGATACAAAAAATTATACATACGAGGAGTCTTGATATCCAACCAACACGGGCCTTTAATCTTTCTGCTCAGAAGAAAGTGTTCCAAACTTGATGTATTGGTTCCAAAAACATGAGAAAATGTCGCCCCCTTGAGGTCTGAGGGCAGTGATGGATGTTCAGCCTAGAGCAGAAATTTTACATTGAGAGAAATGTGTTCCTTAAGTACTCGGAGCTAAAAAAAACCAAAAACTGTCACTGTACTTACAGAGTAGCGTACTTCCAAGTATTCACATTGAGTGGGCACATCAGGAATTTCAAAAGCATAATTTTTCTCCACTTTCTGTAAAATAAAACATCTAAACAACACTCATTGTTTAGATTTGCCATAACACACAGATCAAAACAAACCTTGGACTTAAATTTCATGATCTTGAACTTCTCCGATAGCTCATTAAACTCCTGGTAAACATCCATCATCCCAACAGGTGTATCTGTGGTCTCACCAGTTTTAGGGTTCACTCTCTAGAAGTCCAAGCAGAATCCAGAACAAAACACATTAGCTTCCAATTCATTCTTTTCAATTAATATCTTCAACACTAACAGTAACAGTAATACTTACAAATTCACGTGGAAGGAGGTACATGCTCCGCTCGATATTTTTAACTGAGACGCAGCAGCTGACGTGAGATTTTGCAGATTCTATCCATACTTTTCCAAACAAGTAAACCACACCTAAAACATGGACAGTTTAAGCAATTACAGGGTTTTCTGAGCTTTCTCATCCTTTACTATTTGCAGTGGAAATGCTCTGACCTGGTTGATTGTAAGGGTCTTCAAATGCATCCAGCCAGTAGAATCTGAACACCATCTCTCCCTCTGGACCCTCCACCAGTGGGAGCTGGCTTGAGTCGACCTGTACTTCCGCTGGTGCAGTCTCTTCATCTTGTCCCCATGTACTTTCCAGATTGCTGGAAATTAATTATAGATGATCAAATATGCTTTTTACAAAAATGCTAATAAATAAATAGTTTTTTTAATGAAAAAAAAAAAGCAAACATACATGAGGACAGGATCTTGTAGTTCTTCTTTGGGCTGAGCTTTCACTGTGGTTTGAGCAGGGGCAGTTTTTACTTCAGGCTCAAGCTCTTCTTTGATAACTGTTTTTTTTGCCTCATCAGCCACATCCATGGGCTCATCAAAGTCCACCTCATCAAGTGCCATAGCGTTGTTTACTAAAAGTTAAGTAAATTCACCTCCTGTTTCAAAGTTATTTCAAAGCCTGCATTATAACAATAGAGTTTACCTTCTTCTTCAGGCAGCTCCACTTTAGCTTTCACCTTTTCCAGTGCTCGTGATGGGATAGGTGCAGGGGCCTGTGGGGCTGGATCGAGCGGCGGAGGGCGAATTACTTTGGCTTTTGCCCCAGAAGGCGACTCCTGTAAGCAAAAACAACCAATATTTTAAAAGAACAGCAAGTATTGTGATTGCAATTAGATTTCAGTCCACTGTGCATTAATATTTGAGAGAAGACAGAAATATTAAACTGCCAGACTAATAAACTATAACACATTTCAGAACATCTTTGTAGCACTACAGGTTTAGCAAAGCTTTTCCATCAAAATACCAGATCTTTTGTTGTTAGGAGCAGACATTTGATTACCTGAATAATTGCCATCTTTGCGATTTGATAATTGGACCACTTCAAATTGCATTTTAGATTAGACTGAAATTGACAGTGCAGCGCAATCTTTATGATATGTTTTTAAGCATACTGTAATAGAAAACTTGCCTTTGAAGATTTAACAGAAAATGGATTCATTGGTGATCCAAGAGCCTTCTTTTTCTTCAAGGTAACAACAGGTGGAGGAGTCAATGCAGAGGATTTCTAAAGACACAAAACATGTTATTTATTATTAATTAAATACATATTAATACATATAACATTTAAGTTGAAAATATAACCTTCATCATGCCATTATCAGTAAAAAATACAGTATTACTGGTACAGTGTGTCCCATAGATTTTGCAGCAGAAATTATTTTTATTTGGATAATTTAATCATATTCAAGTATAAATGTTACTTACTGCCTGTATTTCACCTTTAAGCAGTCATTTTTGACCAGTTTATGATAATACAATCAGTGTCAAAGTCTAATTTTGTAATGCCATTATAGTTTAGGTTCTTTTTAGACTATAGGGGGCACTATAATATCTGTATTAAAAGGAAACATTGTGGTACGAACCTCAGAGTGCAGATCTTGTAAGATATCACCCAAGAGGTCATCTTTGGAGAGGTCTACATCTTTCTACAAGAAGCACAATTGCAAACACGACATGTATGAATTATGTATGAGAATAAAAACTATTCAATCAAAAGAGTTTTACATGACAAAAGACATTGAAAACAAACCTCGGCAGGCCTTTTCACATTGCTATTCATGAACAGGCTTTTGATGGTATTTGGTTTGGACACTGATGTTTTCTTGGCATTTTTCTTTGACTCTGTTCCTTTAGCTCCTGCTTTTCCTGATGTACCACACAACAGCATTAATAACTGTACAATGTGTCTCATAAAAAAACGATCTGAGCTACAAGTCTGCTTACCTTTATTAGTTTCAAGTACATCATCTTCCAAATCATCATCAAAGATTTCTCTCCCATCCTCCACATATCCTGTTCCATCTGAGAAAGAGTCGGTCACCAAAGGTATACAAACATACCTGCAAATAGTATCTTTATAATATTCAATACGTACCATCGTCAATAATCCAGTCATCCTCTTGTCTGTCTCGTACCATTTTCGAGTACTCTTCCTCATCCACCTCTTCATAAACACTGGTAAATTCTTCCACCTGTCAACATTTATTTTTAGTATTATTATTTTAAGTAATACTGCTAAATATATATGTTCATATGTACTGTGTACAATGGTGCAAATGGTTTGTAGCCATACACACCTCATATTTAATCTTCTCTCCTTTTTTAGCTTTTTTAAGTTGCTCCAAAGCAGATTTCCTTCCAAACTTCTCTCTCTTTTCTCGTCTTGAGCGAGATCTGGCCAGCCCACCTGTATCACCTCCGTCATCTAAGCAAACACACAGCTTTGTAGGTACTTTTGTTTGCAAATCATTATGCAAAATGACATTATGCATTAGGTGCTGTTACAACACTTTGATTATTTTAAATCAATGCATTAAGAAATTATGAATATAATTTTTAATTAGTTGAATAACTCATAACTAAAAAATAAATACTTGTGACAATTTTAGAAGCAAAATTCTGTTACATTTGTTTGTTAGTTACAATGATATGTTATTAGCTTACGACACTTAGATTATTCTTATTTTGATGCATTTTGAAATTTTTAATATCAACAATAAATCAGATAGTTGATAACAAAAAAATAAATATTTTTAGAAGCAAAATTTAGCACTTACAATTGAATATTTACTGCCCAAATATATAGTGTATATTTATGTCACATTAACTTTACTGGATCATACAGAAAGATGGTGTTGTGATGTGTTGTTGATATATTGCTTGATCGTAAAATCGTGATGTTTCTTCTCCAAGTAATTCTAAAACTAATATTTTATACGGTGACTGACAGCACTATTTGGATCATACAAGGCTCCTGCAAGGTGTAATGAACTAAACACCACGTAATCGCTTGAGACTTAATTAGAAACAGATTGCTGTCGTTTATGCAATCCTCCCATGCTTTTAGACTTGTATTTTCTTTGACTGCTCATGTTTTCATCCTTAGTGTGACAGCGCAGGCTAGCTATTATGGCTATTATGTAGCGGTGTTAGCTTTCATGCTCTGTCTTTGCAAACCAGGAAGCCTAAGCTAAGAAGATTCGCTGCGCTCAAACTTACCTCCATCCGGCATATCCATGTCTTTATCGGGGTTTGAAACCGGAGCCATGACTTTCACCTCCTCCGTTTAACACTTTGACACGTTTAGATGCAGCGGATCTCAAGACAAAAGTCAACACAACACTCTGGTCCAGCCTGGTCCGCGCCAAATCGTCTTCCCGGGGAAAGTCATATGCAGGAAGTGACATCATCATTTTGAAAGCCAATCGTTTCACAAGTTTGCATTACTAGCTATTTATTCATCAATTTAAATTCATTATTCTTAATTCAATGTGCAACTACAATAGTATCAGTAACAATGAATATGTTTTCTTAAACTACCATACTATAAGAGCATTATAATCTATTTCTAATTAGGTTTATAATATTCACTTTAATCCCCCAAAATCCTTTTTATGGTATTTTTTCATAGAAACATGTGTTCTGCTTGACTACTTAACATTGCCAATATATTTGTATTCTAACATTTTGAGGTCTCATCATACCATGAGGTCTAGTAAACCAGAGGAAACTTACTCTGGTAGCCTCTAGGGTGCAGTGCTGGTTTAATTTTTTTTGCATGTTTACTGTCGCCTACAGTAGACGCTTGACCAAATTGGAATGGAAATACCACACACTAACTTTAAACTATAGGGCTTCACACAACAGTTCTTATGTAACAGCTGCCAGTCACGTTGGCCTCGTTAAAGGTTCACAAATAGGGGCCCAGTCGGAGATTGTTTTCACAGTAACTGTGCAAAGGGACAATAGAGCCCTGTCCCAGATTGGGGCCAGGCACAGATTCAAGTGTGTGTCGTGCCGTGAGAGCATCAACTTTATTGCAACCGAACCCTCTCCCCCCAGACAGTGTGGGATACATAGAGCTATTCATGATATATAACCATACAGGCCACCTAATAGTTTTGAGTTACTTATACGTTCTGTTATTGCCGTGTTATTGTTGGCATTGTTGTGTCTGTGCGCGCGCGGTACCCCACAGCTGTCGCGACCATCGTCACGTGACGCATCCTTTGAACAGACGTTTTGTCGATACAGTCTATGCTCCTGTTACATTTAACCACTGCACTTCACTGTGCGCAGACAGACTGCTCTTGGACTGAGGGTGATTTTTAAAAGCGACTTGAGTCATAAAACATGGTAAAACAAAGGCGAAGCAGAACTCACTACTATGCCGTGGCACCTTTTTGTTGCAGAAGAGAGACATTCAGAGTAAGTATACTTTTTGCGAATTTGTCAATAGTGTGTTCATGTCACACATTTAGGTTTATTATAAGCTATATTATGAAGGTTTTGTTGGGCTCTTTTGTCTGGATCACATTTTCATTTTTACAAAGACAACTTATCTTTCTTTTAGCTATTTGTTGCTTTGGCTGATGGCAATTTACTCATTTATGTGACATAATTTTGGCTTTAATGTGGAATGGGCTATTACAGCAATAATCTATGCTACACAGGCCAAGGATAATAATGTCTTAAATCTGTGGGCTAGATCCATGATTATTACAGTCAAAACAACCTGCTGTGTGTATTGGTGGCTTGGCTTGATCCACCAATCAGTTGTATTCCTTTATACGGTCTCTGATTGGTGCATCCTCTCTCATCCCCTTCCTCTGCTCGCGAGCTTCACGGACCCAACCAGAGTAGAGCAAAGATCCTTTAGGCAACAGAGACTCGCATGAGCTGTTCGTGCATTAAGCTATATTATACGTTTGTTTTTCTATATTCAAGATATTACAGACTATAATAAGGGCTTCAGTGTATCCTATACATATTTGACCTACCTGGTAGGTCATGGAATTTTCAAATAGGTTACTTAAAACGGCATCGCCTATATTGATTGCATGTTGGTATGGCCTTGCTTTTTGTGTTTTTATCTTACTTAGGTCTGTATGCTTAAGTTAACCGAGTGAACTGAGCTATTGTTGAGTTAACAGCGAAATCTAATTTTGCTAATTGTGACTCAAAACAACGCACAGAGTGCGTTTACAGAGCGTGCAGAGTGAGAGATCGTGTTGACGTTGATGTCTTTGTAAAGGATGGGAGATGCAGCCAGAGCAGAGGGGAGGCGGGGATACAGGAAGGAGAAGGAGTGATGTGGAGGAGAGAGCCATCGTCTCACTGATGCTGCTGAGTCACAAAATACAGCACCACAACCGCATCCCATGAGTTTTGGGAATAATGGAGGAGCTCGAGCACACCTGCCCCCATCCCCGGACGGTAGGGGTGTCAATTCGTGTGTTGTTTTTTGTTAATGGTTTGTTATTGCCAAGGAGAGAGGGACAGACAAAAGAGGCTGTGCTCCCTGTTATGAAACACATCTCCCACAGTAGCCTATAGCCAGTAGGGCATGCACAGAATGCTGAGTTTGCATTAGTAGTTTCACTTAGCCTAAGCATTCAAAGAGGGTTTATGCTACTGAGTGAATGCACTTTGTTGTCTACCATTTCACCTTAATAGAGTATATAAGAAAATTATAGATTTTATTCCAAGGGCCTATTGTAAGAAAATCATTTGTCATTAAAAGTCCGTAGTTGCTGTCATAGATACATGTGCCATGGTCAGTATTTTCTGTTTTTTCAGTTTAATCTCCTTTAAGCCAGATGTTCTTCGCCCTTTGCCAGAATAGGCTTTACATAGTGCTCAACCCATATGTCCTTGCTGGCCACCATACTTGAGTCCTCACCAGTCAATTTAAGCCTTGCCATCTGTTCCATGCTTGTTGGCTAATCTAAGTTGTGACTAGAGATTACAACTATTCCTTAAGAAGTCTAATGGGCTATGAGGAGCCTGCTATGGCACACCATGTTCCCTCTACCTCATGATACTAAATGTGTGTCATTCTATTAAATATAGATGATGTCTTTTTCTACAGTTGGCTGCATGTCTTTAATGCTTTTTTTGGTGCTTTAAACATGGATATATTGTCATGTTATAATTGCTTTTGCTCAGCATTAGTTTACTCAAAGTTGTATTTAGAGTGATCCATGCATGTTTGAGTAATCTTGTGTTGCAAAGTGTTTGTGGCTTTTGTGCTCAGAATTTTTTTCACCAACTCTCTCTATCAAGTATACAGTCAAAGGGTAACCTGTAAAATGACTGATGGATATAAAATGAAATTACTTATAGTTAGTTTTCAGTTTCATTTAGGTCTGTGTAATCCCTCAGTCACCCAGGTAGGATCCATAGGAAAAGAAATTCAATTCACTTCCATTCATTCCAATTCAAATGGACAAAGTTAGTTATTTATCATTGTGTACACATTATCATGACATGAACTTTCGAAGATGTTGAACTTTGTGGTCACAGCACAGACAAAAACTCATATCAAATTATACAGTGGAAATGAATTTAGCTGTATATACATTTTCTGTCACACTCCATCACACTTCTATCATATTTCAATTAAAAATATAAATAAATAAATATATAAACCTCTGCATTTATTTTGTGAAATTAAATTAAAGTACCAATAATACAATAAAATATTATTGTAAAACACTTATTGTCAGTATGTTTTGAAAGACCCACTCCCCTAATCACAACTAGAGTTAACACAACAAGCTAGGACTAATTTAAATTTGATGTCAGCGTATCATGTCTTCCCCCTAGAGACATGTTTTTCCATCACAGACCCACACTCCCACAGGTTTGAGCTGTGATCTTTTTAAGATTCACTGTTGTTGGTGAGAATCAGTGAATGGTTGCTACAATCAACAGATGATGCCACACAAATGCAGCTTATGAGGCAAACGTTACTGTTGCCATCAGGCTGTCAGTGAGCCAGTCATTTATAATAACTCATTTTTTGTCAAGTGTGTTTTGTTGTCACTTTCTGTCTTTTATATTATTGTTGTAGTGCTGTTAGCATTAAAGGTCCTACATTAGGAAAAATTGACTTTTATAATGTTGTTACCTCATCAAAACATACCTGGAGTAAGTTTTGTTTCATTCACACATACAGTATTTGAATAATTCTTTATTATTAGTCTGTCTGCATCACCACAGCTCAAAATACTCTGTTCCATCTTGTGTACAACAGAGCATGTAGTGGTAATTTTCAAGTTAACAGCTACTTTTACCTTTTGTTCTATAGAGATTGGCATTTGGCAATTTCAGGGCTGAAATTATCCAAATGATTCCAGTGCAGGTGTATGGAGTTTAAAAACACAATGGAGCACTTCTTGTATTACCACTTGACATCACTAGGTGGAACAGAGTGTTTTCTGTGTGAATGAAACAAAACACAACTCCAGGTATGTTTGTGATGAGGAAACAACATGATAATATACATCAGAAAATAGCTGTCCATTAACAAATATAGCAGTATTGCAGTCAGCTACACTTTTCTAGAGGACATTGGCAGCAAGTCAATATTTCTTTTCCCTTATTCCTCTCACATGTCAATGCTCATATACCATATACAAACTCAAACGCCTGCACACACCCACAGATCAATACCAAAGCTCTCCATCCACACACGTCCTACTGAGGGGTGGGGCATTTGTGGTCAATATTGTAATAGAAGCTGCTAATATTTGAGTGGGTTGGGCTGGTAGTACACAGTAGATGAGGGCAGATTGTCATAGTTTATAGTAAAAAAATGTCACAGAAAGGACTGATTAGAAATGAAAATGAAAAAAAAAAGTATGTTCTGAACTTCCAAATTGAATTGAAAGTGAATATTCTGTACTTAGGTGGGTAATTTAGGAGTTATTTCACCTTTTTCAATTGCTAAAACCTCAACCAATCCATTTAAAACACATCTGAATATTGTTATCAAGATACTCCAAAAAAAGTTCATGATATAATTGTTGTCAATATCACCCTCCCCTATACTTCACATAGATTATTTTGTCTATGTTTTCTTTTCAGACACTGACAGAACCTGCCCACTTCACAGAGGAGACCAGCTGTGACTGTCAAGCTCCACATGAGAAGCTCACAATCGCGCAAGCTCGCAAAGGCACCCCAGGTATTTAACTAATGGTCTCATACAGTATATTGTATATTCAAATTTGCCTAGTTAGTCTGGACTCTTGTATATTTTCACACATTTAAATGAAATACTGTAGCTGCACGATTATCATGCAGGCCTCATTTATAACCTGTTTATCTCTGCTTTACTTCCTCTAACACCATCTTATCTGTATACATATGAGAGTGTGGTTTTATTGCTGTGTGTTATCAGTGGACCGGCCTGTTCGAGTTTATGCAGACGGCATCTTTGATCTGTTCCACTCTGGACATGCCCGCGCTCTCATGCAAGCCAAGAACCTCTTCCCAAACACCTACCTCATAGTAGGAGGTACAGATACACATTTCAATTTCATTTATCAATATTAATTAGTACATTTTTAGTCAGAAATGTACATTGGAAGAGGCAGAAAAGCAGTAATTAACAACAATTGAATGGGCTAAGATTAAGTTACAAGTTGTTCTCTAATACGTTAATTTTAATTGACCTCATTGTGGTTTAATGCACTTTTTAATACAGTTCATAATCAAGTGGAGATAGTAAGAAAGACGTTTGACAATTTCTAAATCCAATGATGAGAGATAGCCATTTAGTACTAATCATTACCTATACCTTGATAAAGTATTATTGGTTTTACTGTACATACTAGACAGACGTCAACAAAACAAATTTAAATGAACAATAGTAATAATAAACTTTACTTTTTATTTAATTCATGCATAGTCTCTCACATCTTGTTCAAAATGTCTCCTCTTACCCCCTCCTTCATCACCTTTTTGGACAGTGTGCAGTGATGAGCTGACCCACAAATATAAGGGCTTCACCGTCATGACGGAGACTGAACGGTACGAGGCCCTTAGACATTGCCGCTATGTGGATGAAGTTTTACGGGATGCTCCCTGGACTCTCACACCCGACTTCCTGGAGCAACATAAGGTTTGTTTCTGTACAGATTGCCTGATGTTTTTTTTTTTTTCATAGCTGACTCAATGCTAATTTTTGTAATGAACCCAAGGCAGCCAATGGCTACTAAGCTCTGCTGATATGCTGATACATTACTACAAAATTACTGCAGACTCATCTATCCATATTCTTCCACTTTATCTGGGGCTGGGCCATGACAGCAGCCCTCTATATAGAGATGCCCAGACTTACCTCTACACACACACACACACACACACACACACACACACACACTTCCTCCAGCCCTTCTGGGGGGATCCTGGGGTGTCCCCAGGCTAGCCAAGAGATATGGTCCCTCTGGCATGTCCTAGGTTTTCAATTACTGTCTATAGTGCACTGAGCTACAATGGTATATTAAGGACAAGCAGTATCTATTGCAATAAATGGGACCAGTGTAATCACATTTTATGCAATGCCTTTTTTGCTCTAAAATGATGCCTTGCTTTTGTTTGACAGGTGGTCAGTCCAAAACCTAAAGAACATATTGGCCTATACTGGAGATTGAAAGTCAATGGCCAGTCTATGTGTAGTTCTTTATTAATAGCATGAAGCATTTAGTCCATATCTGTACATGTGATATTGTGTAAGTGTTCCCTAGCGTGTTGTGTCTGCTGCCGGTGTGGTTTTCGATACTGCATGTGTCTTTTGATTGTTCTCAGATCGATTTTGTGGCTCATGACGATATCCCATACTCCTCTGCAGGAAGTGAGGATGTCTATAAACACATCAAAGAGGCAGGTTGGTAATGACTACAGCGTATTGTGTTAAATATGTTCTCAGCCATAATAATAATAATAGTATTAAATTATTTAAATTTGGAAGGTTTTTTATTTTGGTTTGTGAGAATGTACAATATCTAGATCTCGAAATTTGTTTTTCATGATCAAAAAGAGAAGGGTGAAGATAATGAGAATAATTAATAACTGGATTGGACTGGCCTTTCAAGACACCCAAAGTACTTTATATTGCATTGCACTTTGCACTTTGCATTGCATCATAGTCATTCTTTACATTCTAATTCTAGCTAATGCAGACATAAATTTTTCTTGCCATATCTAACTGAAGTTCTGACTCTGACCTGGATTATTTTGTGTGCCTCCAGGTATGTTCGTACCGACACAGCGGACAGAAGGCATCTCGACTTCTGATATAATCACCAGAATCGTCAGAGACTATGACGTTTACGCTCGACGCAACCTGCAGCGTGGATACACAGCCAAAGAGCTAAATGTCAGCTATATCAATGTAAGACCAGCAAACCAAATCTTATCAAACCTAACTACACTTTAACAATAAACCTATCCCTCTTATGTAGGGTTGTCAAAAGTATAGAAAATAGATACCAGATGATACCAAAACTAGTAAACTCATTTGAGTAGAAACTAGAGAGAAAGAGAGAGAGAGAGAGAGAGAGAGAGAGAGAGAGAGAGAGAGAGAGAGAGAGAGAGAGAGAGAGAGAGAGAGAGAGAGAGAGAGAGAGAGAGAGAGAGAGAGAGAGAGAGAGAGAGAGAGAGAGAGAGAGGCCTATTTCTTTGATCCCAAGGGAAATTTAAGTTTTGTTGCAGTAAGTTGTCACTGTTGCAGTTGCTGTAGCTGTAACATTTAAACTGTCCATCTGAGTTTCCTTTGTGTCTCAGTCAAAGGGCTTAGTGCAGTTTTTAGTCAGGTAGGTTCAGCTGATCATGTGTCAGGGTAGTTTGAGTTGAGAAAGAGCAAAAACGGTCCCTCCTCTGTGCAGCATCACAGTAGTGTAGGGGGAAACCAGGTGAACACAACAGGAAAGGCTTCATTCTTACTCTGCTTTGGTGTTTCGGTTGATGATGAAATGGTCCATTACCTCAAAGTACTTTCTCTGGAAGATCTTCTGCCACATTTTCTCTCACATATGGTGTAAATAAAACCTGTAGCATCTCAAATGTCCATAGCTAGCTCCTTAGCTAGCCTCTTGCACCTTCTCCATGGATATGAACAGTAGAACAGTTCATTTCACACAATTCAACAGCTTCTTGTGTTCATCCCCTCAAAGTATTTCCTCTGAAGCTCTTCTGACACATTTGCTACCACATATGGCAAAAACCTGTAGCAGCTCAAATATCCATAGTAGTATCCATAGCTCTTTACCTAGCTAGTTTCTTTGTTGGATAAACTCCCATTGTATAATGTTAAAAACTGAGTTAATAAAAAACAAAAACCTGACCTGACCGTCATCACCTGGTAATATGAAAGAAAGTGCTAGCCATAGTCTAAATAAGTGGGTCTTTTTAATAGAGCCCGACCGATATATATCGGTTGGCTGATATTTTTGCTTATAGGGGCCGATATTTCACGTGGGTATGTGATACCTCATTATAAAGCTTAGAGTTATGAATTATGACATACACACAGTATTTACGGCTAAAGGCTAATAGCGGTAGTTTCTTTACTAGCTAGTAGTTATGGGTCAGTCGTGAACGAAGTGGCTCTTAGAGCCGGTTCTTTGAAGCGAACGACGGGAGCCTGCTCCTTATTGGGAGCTGTGTTTTCTCTTTCTCACTTTTTTTCTCTTCACGTCACGTGCAGACTCGTGGTAGTTTGACAGCTGCAGCGGCTCAAAATGAAACTTTCAGAAATATGCGTGTGCATAGGGTAGAAAAACATGCATATTTGGCTGTAGTTCAGCATAAAATAAATAAACCAGGACTTATTTTGGGCTTGAGAGTCGAAGAGAGATAGAGACCGAGTCCTGGTTTAGTTTTGGTTTACTCCTGTTTTACACATGGTTTAGATCTGTTTTAGTCCTGGTTTAGTCCTTTTTGAGTCCTGGTTCAGTCCTGGTTCAATTCTGCTTTAGTCCTGCTTGCAACAAAACAATCTGAAGAGCCGCTTGGGAGCCGAAAGAGCCAGCTGCTTTTAGTGAACTGAGCCAAAAGAGCCGGTTCTCTAAAAAGAACTGGAATACCCATCATTAGTAGCTAGAATGTGATGCAAAAATGCCATTAGGCTGACCTACTGTCTGTAAATATGACATAAAGAGGCAGAGTAACAATAAATGTTGCCTAAATAAACCCAATTTAAAATCCACCAGAGCCAAACCTAAGTTTTTTAAACAATTTAAGATTTACAGTGAATTTTTACATCACTAAATATATCGGCGATTATATCGGCTATCGGCAGCTCCTACCCCCATTTTATCGGTTTCATATCAGCCACAACAAAATCCATATCGGTCGGGCTCTAGTTTTTAATTTAAATATCATTGTTGTGTCAGTATTAGAATTGAGTATCACACCTATTGACCTACCTACTCCCTGAGGGTGTGTTTAAAAAATGGATCCCCATGGCAACGGAGTGGTTGGCTGCTTTTGTGGCTACCTGGCGCTCTGGTCACACACTGAACATCCCTCGGATTCATCTTACTCCATGGAGCATCTTGCTGGTCTGATCAGGGTGACGAGTCATGAGTCAGCACATCCCTATCAATAAGTCCTTGCCCTATTTAGTTAATTGATTAGACATATAGATAGAAATAGAATATCTTGTGCATGACCTGAACAGATATCTGTGTCACTCAGCTGTAATCTACTCCTTGTTTTCTGTGTCACTATAGAGTGAATTATAGCAGTACATCAACAACTATATAACAGTACATCAGTTGAATCATTGCAGTAGTTATACAAAACTTTGTTTGTTTTTTGAGCTGAGTTTTTAAAACATCATATCAAAGGATTTTTAACCAACTAAGAAGTGCAGCATGTGCAGTTTAAAGGACACAAGTAATGAAGTGTTTGTTTTTACTATATCCATGGAGTCTGCATGAGAGGCTAGCTGAGAAGCTAACTATAGACATTAAAGTTGCTTTTTTTTTTTTTTTACACCGTACATGGCAGTAAAAGGAAATACACTGTGTTAATGAACACAAGGAACTGTTGAATTGTGTGAAATGAACTTTGTTTTTCTTGTATCCATGGAGATTGTGCAAGAGGCTAGCTAAGGAGCTAGCTATGGACATTTGAGATGCTACAGGTCTTTTTCATCATCAAGCAAATGAGGAAGATCTTCCAGAGTAAACACTTTGAGGTAATGGACCATTTCATCACCAACTGAAACACCAGAACGGAGTAAGAACGAGGACTTTCCTGTTGTGTTCACCTGGTCCCCCTGTACGCTGCTGTGATGCTGCAGGACACAGAGGAGGGACACTTTTGACTCTTCCACAGGATCTTCTGACCCTACCTGACCAGTTCTCCTGTTAAACTGTGCTGAGATCTTTGACTGAGACACAAAGGCGGTGCACTGAGACGCACAGGGGAAATGCAACATTAAACAAAGAATTGATTTAACTGGAAATACAACAGGTGAGCTGATTTGTGATATAACATTACAGTCACAAGATAGCTAGCATTAGCCAAAGATTTTCACCTTTTTGTTGAAAATTAAACTCATAAACAGGACCATGAATGCTCGTATTGATCTTTGAAACTTCTGAAAAAATGTTGTTTAAATCCATTTTATATTTTTTCAGACAATCTTAAACGTTTTTTGATAGTGTTTGCTAATGTGTACATTGTATCACCATGATAACACATGAACATTTTAGTAGTGTATTGTGATAACACTAACTACTATTATGTATGATTTTTGTTTTGATAGGAAAAGAAGTACAGGCTGCAGAACCAGGTGGACCGTATGAAGGAAAAGGTGCGCACGGTGGAGGAGAAGAGTAAGCACTTTGTTTATCGCGTGGAGGAGAAAAGTGCTGACCTCATTCAGAAATGGGAGGAAAAATCCAGGGAATTCATCGGCAACTTCCTGGAACTCTTTGGACCTGATGGAACGTGGGTAAGTGGATTGGCCTTACTTGTAACTATTTTTGCAAGTAATTAGCATAATCATTAATCATAACACAAAAAAAATAATGCATAACACTTCATTTATTCTACAGAATGAAGGAGTTTAGGCTGATGTTTAACACTTATTTTGCCTCTTAACATATTGAATAGATGGCAGAAAATCTATTTACACAAAAAAGAAATCTCATCTATTATGAGTGTAAGAAAGAAGACATACATATATTTTAGTACACACCCATATGCAGACACACAAATCTGTACACATTTATCTGAGATTGACTAATAACACTAATGACTAAATGAGAGAATTGACCAATTAACCACAATTAAACAGGTTAAGATAAGCTCACCTTAGGTCTTATTCAAAATAGAGTTGCCAGCTTTATTACCTGGTCGGGTTGACCAGGTTTTTTATTCACCCTGTTTATGAACCGATTGTCACCAAATTTGGTACATAGATCAAGCCCCAATGTCCGATGCCGCTAAAAAAAGTTTGGTGACAATCCGAGATCATTTGAGGTCACACGGGTCAATTGAAAGGTCACGTCATTATAAAAGATAGGCAATTTCTGCAATTTCTGAACCATCTGCGGGCTAAAATATTCACCCAATCATCACACAAGTTGGCACACACGTAACCGGGGAACACTGGATGTTGCAGGTTGAAACCGGTCAAGGTCACTTGAAGATCAAGGTAACCAAGGTCAAATATGCGTTTTTGGTTATAATTCCACAAAGGATCGAACTAGAGCAATGGGAGTGGTCTCAAAATCTAAAAAAAAAAAAAATAAAAAAAAAATTATCTATTTATAATTCTATGCATTTGTATAGTATAATATTAATAGTTTTCCAGATAATCACTAATTCTAACAGTTCCTTTTTCTTTCAGTGTATGCTGAAAATCATTTCCATTTCTTCTTTTTGGTGATACACAACACACTGATCTACAGTCACAGAACTAACATATACTGAACTCATGAAAAATTTAATTTTCATTACAAGCTAGTAAACACAGACATTCTCATGTGTGACCAATATCACACAAATGTTCATGGACACTGTACAGCTAGACACATTGCATTGTGGATATAATGATCATGTAATATGGGCTGGGCTTTTCATAAGCTGCTTCCTTGGTGATGAACTGACCCCACCGATGCCTCATGGGGGACCAGGTTGCTATCTCTGATTGCTCTTGTTTTCTATTGATCTCAGTGTAGCAAAACACAAAGGTGCACTATATAACTTTTCTAGGGGTGGGTCTGCCACATGCTTGTCTCCATGGAGATGTTACAGCTTTGAATAGAATGTTCCACAGTATGGCAATATACGTGTTTATCAAGCATTTATTCATTTACAGCTTTTATTACAAAAAAAATACCTTGAAAAACATGCATTCTTACTGTAATTAAGGTTGAGTCTCCACAGATCTGACCACTAACTTTGCCTGATGGAGTCTGCTGTCTGCAGACTGTTTGTCTTCATGGAGATAGATAGGTTTAATGCCTATTTATACCAGGCAAAGAAATAACACCACCGTAGAGACAAGCAGGTGATATACACAAAAGTTACATAATGCACCTATAATACAGATCTTCAGTGAAGTGAAGCTAAGAAAGTGTGCATGCAATCATCAACAAGGATCATAATATTAATAAATACAAAACTATGTAATTAAATTAGTTCTCTCTGTATTTATTGTTTTTGCTTAATGAACCATCAGGACCTGTCACTGAACCAGTGTGGCATGGCATACCAAAAACAAACCAGCTTCTGCATTGTGTAACATGCCTTTATTTACAAGACAATGTGGCTCACAGTAACATGTACAGTATTTGCATTTGTATTTCTTCTGCATGCCACAACTGCCTTATTATTGGTTAATAATATAGAAGATGGTTAGATATTTAGAAGCTATATAATAATAATAATAATAATAATAATAATAATAATAATAATTATTATTATTATTATTATTATTATTATTATTATCATTGAGCAATAACCTTTTCTTCTTGTTCTCTTTCCACAGAAACAGGTATTTCAGGAGCGCAGTGGACGAATGCTTTCATATGCCCTGTCTCCTAGAGAGTCTCCTTGCAACAGTCCTCCTCGTGAACTGTCGCCACTGCGCTCCCCCTCGCCCCCCTCACCCCCCACCCGCTGGCACAGTGCTCGACCATCTCCCCCAACGTCTCCCAAGGGTGCATCTGCCTCTATAAGCAGCATGAGTGAAGGGGACGAAGACGAGAAGTAGATGAATCAGTATTTTGTACACACTCAGACTCACTGAGACATCACAGTGAACTGGCTGCAAAGAAGCCTGTGCGGGGTCAAGTAACAAAGACACTTAATAATTTCTCCAAAACAAGCTTGTGTGTGGCAAATGAATCCGCACAGTAGGAAAAACTGTAATCTGGGATACAGGAGAAATTAAAATGTAAAATGTTTTAAGTAGCAAAAAGCCAATTTTTCCTAATTTTTCCTGTTCAACATAGTATTTAGGATGAAGCTAAACTATAAGACCAAAACATATAGCCTAACACAGCTGAGGTCACTTGTGTGACATACTGAGAATGTAACTTTGTTGGACGACAATTTGAACTATTAAATATTTTATACGCTTTCTAAAAGGCATTTTAATTCAATTGAATTTAATTCAAATGTGGTTCAGAACTTGTACCTGTAAAGCTCTTGGGTTAAACTATTGTCAGTAATGCCTGATGCTGGTGATTGTTGATAGTAAAACATGTGAAACAGCTTTTCTCTAACACCTTTTTGAATGTACACAGTAGGTTTTCCATTGGGCACTTTGTGCAGAATCACTCCCTTTTACCACATTAACACTTAACTGCTGTAAGTATCATCGATTGTGGACTTTTAGTGATTCAAAAATGCCACTTTGTATCTTAGTAATAGAAATGGTACAGTTATCCTGTTGAAAAGCCATGACAATGTTGATCTCATTTTAAGATGATGTCAGCTGTCAAATCAACCCTGGTATAAACTTAAGATCTTCTCCTCTCCAGGAAACTGACAATACTTGAAACAGCTCATAATGATTGCAGCTCTTCAGGTAAACTGTTGGGTTCATTATAAAATGGACATAGATTTCTTTCCCATATTTTCACTGAGCGACACTAGGCCATAATAGACTTTTCAGCTACTACTGCAATAAAAAATAACTACAATGCAATGTAGAGGCCTCTACACACTATTTAACTGCACTATATGTAAAAATGGTAATGTTTGACTTTTTTATTCTGTAAACTTTGTTGAAAATGGCTTGTTACATAAATAAAAAAAACAAACTGTATAACATAAGACTATTTGTGCTATATTCTTTGCTACTGGCAAACAGAACTAAAGATGTTGAATAAGAATATTAATAAGAAAAAAAAAAACAACAAAAATGACAGATCACAACCATTTCTTTATTGACCAGTGACAACAGTATATATTGATCTGGTGATTGACAAAACAGCATTTGTATTATGGTTGCATATCTTTGCACAGTGACCTATACATTGGGAAGGTCATGCAAAGACACTTACAGACAGTTAGTAGCTGCAGTTTAGTTGTATCTATAACACTCCACACTGGCTGCATGTACAATTCACAAAAATGTATATATACATTTTATATCTCTAAAATACATTATAAATAGGCTGCCTCTAACACAACAACTTGAGGTCAAAAAAATCACTGTGGTACATGTGTATTACAGTCATTGCGATGTCATTATTATTATTAGATAGGCCTGTCACGATAATTACTATATCGACTTATCGTTCAATATATGCTATTATGATAGAACAATAATTTGGGGGGGTTAATATTTGTATTAGTATTTATTTATTAAAGGGGCAATGCATATTAAAAGACAAGATAATTCAAGAGACAAACATGTACTTGTAAATATGCAGGATTGTAGCCAAAGCTAATATTCATCCTTAGTCCCATTTATCGTTGCTACTTTTTCTTAGTATTAAAGGGGAACTTACGTTATTTTTCCTGTTCTGTTGTTAGATTTGAGCTTTAGGGTTAAATAAAAAAACTTCTATGATTCATTAATGATATAGCCTAACTACTTAAGTGTTTCATTTTGTCATTTATGTATTGCTATTAGTTTTTTTATTTTTATTTTTTTAAACATATTTGGAATATTTTTTGGTGGAGGGTCCGCCGCCTACTTGTCTTCAAGAAGATGGTATGGCTTTGCCTGGAATGTTCCATGGCATGACAATAAACATATACATCAAATATTTAGTCATGTATGTTTCTATTCCTAAAAAATACAACAATTCTCTCTGTGAATAGAGGCGACTCTCCATAAATCTGAATTATGATGTACCATAGTGCTGTAACCTGCTTGTCTCCCTTGCAGTAGAAGGGTTTAATCTATACTGTGGAACATTCTAGAAAAAGCAATAACATTTCCATGGAGATAAGCAGGTGGCAGACTCTCCAATAGAAATGTTACGCAGAGCATCTTTAAGCAATATACCGTACTTCAAAATTTGTTATTGTGACAGGCCTATTATTAGCAAATGAAGCAACTGAATGAGGCATTTTTTGAACGTACTAGTTAGCCTACATACAGCTCTAGTTAGTATCTCTTTGTGAGGAGTATACAGTATGGCAGATGTTGAAGGCAATGGCAGTGGTGAAATCTTACAGTGTATCACAAACTAGAGGTGGTTAGATCTCCTCACAGATACGTCGTTTTACTTCAGAAGGAGCTGAAGGAGAGAGGAAGAGGTCACTTCAGTCTAAGATTTATATTTTTGGTCTATTACAACAATAATGTTTCTGTGTATATTTAATTTTCTGTATGCAACGTTATGGAGTTTACTGTATGTGGATGAGGATAAAGTGCAATTACATGTCCTGAATGTAATAATGAACACATGTTTAACTATTATATTAAGATTCCCTAACAATACTTTAAAAATGGTACAACCTTTTGTCCAATTCAAAATAAAATACAAAACAGTGCATGTTTTTGAAAGTACTTTGTGTTGTTCTTGGCTATTTCTTTTTATAAATTTTTTTTGTAACTTTTTTTTATATTCATTTTACATTACTTGCTATTTCGTGTTTCTTGTTGCTGCTGATAATAATGAAGTCAAAGATGCAAGTTTTTAGGGCTAAAACGTTTACAACTACAAGCTTTCAGCAGATGTCATTATAGAGCTGACAGGAGACAGTTTGTTAGTCTAAACTCCACATTAGCATAGAGACAAGAATAGAATATATAGCGTAATGATTTTTCTTATGTCATTCAGTGCCACTGTTCACAATGCATTATGCTGGTGTGGTAAAAGCTACAGACAGACAGCACTGGCACTTTCAGAAAACAGCATTTGGTCCATCTGCGTGAAACCCCAGGAAGAATAGTTATTGTGGTAGTTATAACTAATGGGGATCCTGAATAAAGAATGTGTTTGATCGATAGCAATTGCAATATGCCACATTATAGTACGATTAGTTGGAAGATAAAACTTTAAAAATAGGTTTAGTCTCAATAAATAAGTTAAATACTTCTGCATTCACACAATTCTGTCAATGTCCCTTTCGAAACTAAAACAAATTTCCTATTCCTATTATACAGATAAGGCCATCAGTCTATATAAAAAAATGCCAACTAAGATGCATTGCTATTTGTTAGTTTAGTTTCCACAACAGACATTCGTAACCAGTTAGCCCACGCCAACAGTTTCCCTGCCATCTCTGTTCCTTGGCTTAAATGGAGTGCAACCAAAAACAAAAACATGTCTTTGCAATTCCACCAACACAATATCCTATTTGTGCGTTCAATGAAAAGTGTCTCCCATAGGACGGAAATGAAACCTCTGCCAATTTGAACTTGTTCTACAGATCCATTTGAATTTGTTTGTGTTTTCTGGGCCCAAGACAAAATCCTAGGAACAGAGTGATACTGCAACATCTTACAAGCAAGCAGAGAGTAAATTTAGGCTTTAGTAATTGCCAGATACCAAAGGTGTCAGCCAAAATGAGATACCTGTCATGGGATTAACTGATCACACATAACATTAAGACCACTTGCATAACATTGTTGGTAATATTACATTACATATGGCCAGTCTAATTAGTATATCTGTAAACAACAAACCATCATTAACCATTATAGTAACTGTGGTCTATTTGATTGCTCCAACTGAGTCATGTGACCATTGAACTTTCCATCCTGGTTAAATTTCAATGGACTTGCTGCCTGACCAGATGTGATGGTAGAGATGTGGTTTTAATGTTATGCCAGATTGCTTGGATGCCAGCAAACAAAGAAGTAAATGATCGATTCAAAGAGGCCCACCTATGAAATCCACCTTGGGAGCTCTAGAGGTAATGCTACAATGGCAAAAAGACAGACTGATGTTAAGTTAATGCCGTTGGGTAGAGAAAGATCCATACTGACCATCTTGTCTGAATGTCTGCGTGCCTGGGACCAAAATCAACTTCACCCAAGGGCATATTACATCATGCATACTTTAGGCAGAGTGCAGGCATTTTTCATGGCCAGAGAAAGGGCAGCTAGGCTAGCATAGGCCAGGCAGTTATCTATTAGCTTTGTAATTGGACTTGCTGGCATCACGAGGCTCTTTGCTGGGGTTGCTCCAGTCGTCTGCTTCAGGGCTGGTCTTGTAATGTCGCCATGCCGACTTGTTGAAGACAGGGAGCCGCTCGAAGGACTCACTGGACAGGGCCTTGAAATTAGACAATAAAATATAATGTTCTATCAAACCTTAGCAAATACATACATTTATATCTTATATCTGTCATCTAGACAAGCAAGTGACCCCACCAGGCCAAGTTACATGCCAGATCTGTGAATAAGCGAGCCTGCTCACAGTAAGATATTCCTTAGCAATAAAAAGACCTGCTGGATAAATTTGGTGTAAAATTCTAAACAAAGCAATAACATATCCATGGGGACAAGCAGGAAAGGTTACATAATGCATCTTTAAAGAAAAAGACAAAAGATAATTCTATCATAACGCATTTTCATGTACCTTCAGATAAATTACTGCATCAGTGCCGACACCCTCCATAGAGTAGAGTTTCAGGTCCCCCTGGAAGTATCGGGCATACAGCCTTGAAATGGGTAAACCGTATCCAAAACCAGCCTATTGAGAGAAGAGTCAAAGTAATCCATTATCAGCTGTTCTGACGTCACTTTATATAAATTATTGACACTAAAAGAGATCCAATATTGAGTGTGCTAGTACCAGTGGTACAGCTCCAGGCTCTAGACTTGGTGTTGGGGCAGTGGAGTACATGTAGTTAAACAGACGGTCTATTTTCCTCAGGGGAACGCCTCCTCCTCTGTCACTGATCTGAAAAATGCATGAAGAAGCTTTATAAATGATAGGTATTTGCAACTGAATTATCATTTTGCAATCCAGTGAGAAAAAAATAAAAGATTACTGCCAGGCCACTGTTAAATAAATGAATGAATAAATAAATAAATAAACACGTGGATTACCATCTAAAATTTCTTGAAACTAAACAGTGATCTGGGTACAATTACAACTGTTCATATAAAAGTTCAATATTGATTTGACACATGTATAAGTATAAACAAAACATAAACAGTTTTACACCTCACTTGCACTTTACTGTATCTTCTGTGTGCTAACCTTTATGGATAGGTCCTCCAGGCCCAGAGTGACTTTAGCCTTCACTGGTGGCAGTCCCTCTGAACTGTGCTCGTGAAGCTCCACAGTGGCTCTCATTGAGTTCTGTAAAACGCCACATCTCTAATTACCCCAGCTCGTGTCTCCATTGAATTATATGTCACGTTACACTATAATTACATTTTGAGCTGTTAGCTATTTAGAGCAATGAACCTAAAACTTACCTTAAACAGCTCGAAAAGCATGTGGAACAGATGAGAGGGCACGTACACCACTTGGATTGACTTTTTTGGAGCTTTCACTGTGGATAAAACTAAAGTGAATAGGGCTATTTTAAAGTGGGTGAGACAAAAGGAAATTACATCCTCGGGGCTTGATGTTAATTTAATAACTTCAAGTAAAAAATACCTTGACTTCAGAATATTTCATCTTAATCTGAGTATCTTCAACAGCAACTCATAATCTTCTAACAGAATAAGTCTTATTTCAGAATAATCTTGCATTTGACAAATAGTTTATTGTGCTGATCCATTTACAAGCTACAAGCAGATCAAAACCAGAGAAAAACATAATTTAATAAAATATATTTTAGATAGAATTACATTAAAAACTTTTTGCAGTGAAATGCTGACCAATATTTGTAAGACATAGACTAAAGTAAAAATTTCAATTCAGATTATATCCATTTAACATGTATTATAATTTATTTATAACAACACAGGACATCAAACACTGGCCAGTAACTTTTTACATTTATTTTAATGGTATTATTATTGTTATTTTTGCATTCACATGAATGTCTTACTGTTAAACTCCTCGATCTTGAGTTTAGGTGCTGCCATGTAGTATTTCTCACACAGCATCTTGGCAGTGTCATAAGCATCTGTTAGAAGAAGCACAGACCTCATGAGTCATGGCAAAAAGAGCTGAACAATAAGTTGTTTATATTTAGATTCCTGCACAGAGGTTTTCTGTTCAGTTCACTGTGAGGTCAATTTTTTAGACCGTTTTGGTAAAAAATTCACAAAACCCAAAGAAACAACACAAAACCCTCAAAGAAAATTATACAAATATTTGTGTTAGTCCAAGATAGAGGCATTCCAGTTGAGAGAAAGCGCTGATAACAGTTTCCATAGTTTGGAAACAAGTAAGGAGCTGATGTACAAAAACAGGTCATTTAATTTTTAAACATTTTCTAAATATTTTTAACAGGTAATATCATTGAAACAAAAACAGTGACTTTGAGGAATGATTTACAGTAGAGAAAATTAAGTGGCCATTGAAAAAACACTGCTCTGCAAGGAGCCAATAACAATTTTTATCTATTCTTTTTTAACAAACATTAACGCTTCAAGTGTGATCATTTGTCTTAATTTTATATATTTATATATAAAATCAAGAAAGCAGTTTTGCTATTTTGTATAACCACTGCTATAGTTCATTATTGCACTGAGGTCATGTGAGGAAATAACCACTGTGATCACAGCAGTGAGACTCATGCATGATATTCCAATCTATCTAATAGCAATCTACTCTAAATAAACAGGACAAGAACTACTGACAGGGATGATACCATGACCTGTTACACAGACAACACCCTGGATGGAGTCTGATTGAACAGTGCAATGCGCCAAGAGGCCTGGCTGGCCTGTACAACAACGAAGAGATGCTATGTCTAAACTGTGGTAGCCTCCCACCATAGTTAGCATATAAAACTCATTGTATAGCCCTAAACATAAGAGTCTCTGCATGAGAGTGTCAGCACAGACTCCTTGTACAAGTATTGCTCTCTTCTGTTTAGTTAATTTAAGTAAATTCTCTGGACTTTATTTCTGTTTCAAGTGCATTCTTTATCTAAACAGAAACAAATGATGTGGAGAAGAAACGAAAAAAAGTTTTCCTCAACAAGGTTTAAGAATGTCCTTGAACTCACCATGGACAACCTCTGCCACACAGCAGGTAGGGTCTATACTCCCAATGTGTTTAGGATGGGCAGGGTTGGTGTCATTACCAAACAAGAGAGCTGAGAAATAAATAGATAGAGATGTTATTCAAACCTAACCATACTTATTCCAGTTTCCATTAGCATACAAACACAGATTAGCATTCATAATAACATGCAGCTCATAGAGAGAACTGGAACTGGCACCTAGCACTAGCACTGTAAGGCTAATATAATTTCCGTGATTTGAGACTCACTATGTTGGTTGATGAGCATGCGAAAGGAGATGCGATTGGTGTAGAAGCGGTCGAGGAAATACTGGATGTTAGTACTGGTGAAGGGGTCAAAGCCAAACTTCTCCTTGTACTCTATTACCCCCTGCGCCATAGTGGGGACCACATCATTGTGGCGATTACGAATTTCAATCAGCAACTCCAGAAAACTTAAAGAAAAACAGAGTTAAGAGGTACAAAATATTACTGGGAGAGAAAGTAGATAAAAAAACGAATCTTGCCCATGGGTTTAAAAGTGATGAAAAAAATTTGCACCATTACCATAGCAATTGACAATTCAAAATGAAATGTATTTTATGAGAGGTAAAAAGTCCTGTGCCTATAACAGGAAGCAAAAGCCCATAAATATGTTTCACCTCTGTGACTTAGAGATCATCCAAAGCAGACAAAGTTATTTCCCTTCCTATCAGCCCTGTGGGGAGTTTATCAGCGGCAATATTATGCTATAAATAAGCCCCCCTCTTTAGAGTAGAGCCATTATAAAAAAGGCAATTGGATTCAGTGTGTATAGGGCTATTTGCAACACTGAGAGTCTGTGTAAATCTAAAGTTAAAGGTAGACTGCAAAACACTTAAATCTATCATAAAATTACTTAAAAGTAGTGAAATTATCTGTCCATGCAGCGAGATAATTTTACTTGACAAGTTATCTTAAAATAAACTACCTCTAGACTAGAATTAAGCAGCCTCAGAACTAGTACCGGTAAATCGATAATAAATCTGAAAACAAGATGAACAACCTGATATAAATTTTAAAATCTTGTCCAGTTCAGAGAATTTTGCAGTGTGAGCTGGGTAACTTTTGTGGTGGAGGCTCTTTCACCTGCTTATCTCCTTAATGTCATTCATTTACCTGGAATATCCCACAGTATGACATAAAACTTATCTATCTCCAATGAAACAAAAAGGCAATGCCACCAGGCCCAGGTAAATACAGGCCAGACCTACGGAGAGGTAGTCTAGCTACAATAATACAAGATATACAGTATATTCTAACTGCCCTACTGTGAAACATTCCAGGTAAAGGAATGACATCTCCAGGTGGCAGCCTCCATATTAGAAAAGTTACATACCTTTAGCATATTACATTTATTTTAATAGTGTATGACATACTCATTCAATGCGTGAGGATCTTCTGGTTTCCTGTTCTCATAGTCCAACAGCTCCACAAAGCTCTGCATGTACCTAACATAGACAAACGCATAAACATTATTTAATGACAGCAGACACAAACTGCATAGCCTATGTTGTAAACTGGAGGAAGTATCTGACCATTTCTGCACCAGTCGCACGGAGGGTTGACTCAGGAGACTTTCTGGCAGCAAGTTGACTTCTCGCATTGTGTTGGCCAGTCGGACTGGCAGCTCCTTACGCAAAAACATGTAGGAAGTTTTCTCACAGGCATTGTCCCTGCCTAAGAAAAATCATCATCATATATGGTCAATCAATCAAACTTTCAAATTCATAGAACCTTTTACAACACCCAGGGTGACCAAAGTACTTTACATTTAACTCAACACAAAATAAACCATGCAATACAATAAACAATGAAATTAAAATAACCGTACATGTCACTGCATTACTGAGTGTTAAAAGCCAGTCTAAATAGATATGCATTGAGCCTAGATTTAAATAGGCCAAAAATATAAGTTTATAAATTAATAAACAAATTCAACTGTGTTAAGAAAGAACAATTTTGTCAATTTTCTGCAAAGACAGTACTCCTCCATTAAGCTTCATTTAACCCTATTTAATCTGAATGAGGGTCAAAGCACTTAAAAATGAACTTGCAATGCACACTGTTTTTCATCCCTCTAGACCCGAGCCTGTTTCAAAGGGTTTAATGAACAGAAATCAGTGCTATTCCATAGCTAATCTAGAGATTTGCATGCTCAAATAAAATAAATAGATACACAGATAATTAAAAGCTTGTGTACATAGACAGCTGAGTCTTAAAAGTAGATCTTAGACTTGATCTGAACAAGGACATAACTCGTCTGTAGAGGCAAAATTACAATTTAAGAATACTGCTCTAAATGTCTAAGCAAAGGTAATACTGTAAGTGTCTGGATCAAAGGTCACTTCCTGTCACCAGTAAAATGTAATGACCTTTAATATCATCACATCCAAATATCTGCTGCCTGGATGGAAACCCTGCACTATTTATGCATGTAAAGGAAGCCATAGATCAATGTAATAAGCTCAAATGCAGAGTCAAGGAAAGGTTATGATAACTTATATTTAGTTCAAAGCTGCACATCTGACTCCCCACAATAGGCCACTTCACCAAACTCACTTCCCTAGAAATGTGGTTAACAAATTGTTAATAAGCACTTATTTTGGTACAAGCATCTGGCACCCATTAAAAGCTTTATGCATTGAACCTTCAGACACCAAACATTCAATTGTAATAGTCAAGACAGACGCAAGGCTTATCCGGAGCTATTGTTTTGGGAAACACTCAACAGATGATAAGAGAGATCTCTCAACAAAAAAGCTTCAAGGTACATTATGTCCTGGGGTCTGCAGTGACTCAGCAAAATGTGGTAGGACTAATAAAACTGCTATAGGCTACAGACAGTGTATCCAGACACATAACGGGACAGACTCAAGTTTGTGCAAGTCTCACAGTTGTTGTTACAGTAGTAAAGGGCATCCTTTAACATGATATTGCCCCAGTGACATAGATGTTAATGGCCAGAGATAGGAGTGGCACGTTTCACAATCTTCTAAGCATAACAATTACGTAAGACTGACTTTGTTTAATCAGAGATGGATTAGGGAAATCCTTGAGTGTGGCTGATGTGCGTTACTGGAGCCAAAGCATGTGCAGTGTGTGGTCCTTGGTATTCACTCCTACCCAGTTATAAACGTGCCCCCCTTCTAGCATGCTTCTCTAAATTTACAGTTGACTTCAAAGCGGGCTCAAGTCATGGCAGCACCTGGCAGAGATCAGCTGCTTTGGTGATGCCACCCTCCTTTGCCTACGTGCTGTTGGGCCATTCTTGCACTGTCAATATCGGTATGGCACGCACTGCGCACTAACCCTGCACTGTTCATATTATAAACAAAAAGGCGTCGCGCAGAGAAATGGTAACATAATGGCTTGTGTTGTGGCCTATGCATGGATACTGCAGGTAAACACCATTCATACGGCTCGCTTCATCAAAACAAAGTATAAGGTTTCACGTACGCATGCGCTTGACTCATCGCATCAACAAACTGTGGCACATTTAGAAAAAAAAACAACAATGGTGAAATTAAAGATCATGCGCAGTTACCAAATAATCAAGCTATTACAATGGAGAAGGGGCAGAACAAGAACCCAGAAGATGTGTAACACTTACCAAAATCCAAAAACTGCTTTATTGAAAGTGGTGACGGTGAAAATCTGGAGTAATACTCGATTTTAGGGTTGGTATTCTTAAGGAGACACACGAAAATCCTCATTTTGGTAGTTTATGTGTCCATGTATTACAGCGTTATAAAGAGAACCCGGCCAAGGCATCCATTTTCATCCCGTCTTTCTGAATGGACCGCCGGCAGTCATGCTCTCCACCGGTGCCCACATCAGCCTGAGCTCCGACGCCACCCGCGGACATCCAGAGAGCAAACAAACCAAGGCCCATAGGGGTTACATGCGACCGTATAAAGCACAAATACGCTCTCAAGTGGGTTTCCTCAAGATGTGGAGTTGCGCTTTCAATTTGGATGTGACGTGAGTTTGAGCGCAAAAACTATATCCGGTCTATTTCAAAATAAAGAAGTTGGTGAAGTCTTAAATCAGGAATCTACGTGTAACTAAAAGCAAAGTTACCAATTATACAATTCTGGTATTAATAGTCTATTTGTTGCATTCCTGTTTTTCTTTTAATTAGAATATTAGGCCTACTGAATTTAGGCAGTAAAATAGGTTCTTTTGACCATTTGGTCTATTCTTTTCAATTGTTTTTCCACACACGAGTTAAGAGAAAAAGAAGAAACAGTTTTTCATTTAAACATGTTTTATTGTATTTGCACATCTTCCATTTGCCATGTTCTCCCACTGACATCCCTGTAACAGTGGATTTATGCATATTGCAGGTAGTCAGAGAATACAGTAACACTTCATAATACACACAAAATAATAGCCTACTTAAAGGGGCACTGTGCAACTTTTCTGGTAGAAGTTACACTATTGCATATTATCACTTTGCCTGAGTTAGAGTTGCTAGGAATGTTCCATAGTATGGCATTAAACTTATCTGTCAAATAATTATCCAATTACAAGTGTTTTATTGCTCAAAAACATACTGAAAAACATGCAGTCTAATAGAGTGGGTTTGAGTCACCACACCCACACCCAAAACTGGACCTGATGGCAATACCTGCTTGTCTCCATGGAGAAAAGTTGAATGCCAGACTGTGAAACATTCATGCAAAGCAATAATATTCATGATGGATATGGATCCACCAGAAAAGCTACGCAAGACACCTTTAAAGACCTTATAAAGAATAATACTAAAGCTCATATTGCATTATAACAAAAATAATATAAAGAGTAAGAACAATTAAGTTTAAACCAACCCCTGATTATTATCAGGCTTTTGGTTTGATATTCAAAACAATTAATATGAAAGCCTTATATTCTCACAAAAATAAAATTAAACAGTTGCAATGTTGATTTCAAAAGTAAAATTAAATTTAATTTCAAAGGTTCAAAATTTGTACAATATGTAGTTTGTAAACATAGCTACTTCCAGCATTCAGGCGAACTTGACCAAACTGCCCCTAACTGCGGAACAACCACACTTGAGCAGGTTGATACTCAAAGCTCATTGGTGCTCATCTAGGAAGTAAAAAAAAACACACCCCCAACCTGATTGGATGAAATAGTGTCAGTTAAACACTGCTTATGTTTACAGTGAAAATATTCTCGTGTTGATGTCCTAAACTGTATTCAACACATAACTGTGCCAAATTAAGTGTAACCTAAATACTTTGGCATGCATTGCCTTTACAATATAAAAAATAACACAAAAAAACACAATAAGCCCGTCTGCACCATTTGGTTGTTTTCTACTGCCACCTTGTGGACCAAATGTTAGTAATTAAAAGTAGTCTATATGTATTATAAAAAATAAAATGTGATTGTTCAGGGTAAATATATATATATGGGCATATCCTGTGAGGGAAATAAGCTGCATCAGATTTTTAAAATCATGACAAAAACTTTCATGAAGATTTCATTCACTGAATTCATAAAGTCACACACAAACTCTAACTCTCACTGGAGGACTGAAGGGCTGTAATCATTTTGGAGTTTTCATTGACATCTTCCTCATCTGAGGGCAGCGGATCATACTGTCGTCGGTACAACAGCCGCGTTACCAACGTAATTATGAACATCTCCACGATCAGCAACTGCTGACTCATCACTGCCAGGGAATAAACAAGAAAGAAAAGAAAACTATACTAATTGCTTTAAGTGCATAAATGTTCATTTCAACTTCACTTCAAAATTATTTCAGAGATTAAAACACCCTATTGTAGGCAATGTTGTACACTGAATCAAATACATAAAAAACGTGAATGTGGCAATTATTACTATTAATTATTACTAACTCCAGTGACCTGGTATGTCACAGTGAGATACAAAAATTAATACAGAGCATAGAATAAAAGATTAAAAGACTTACTGTATCCTCTAGCTGCAGAGGAGTAGGGAGGAGCACAAGCTATTGTGCCATTTAAAGCCAAGATGTTGATGATCGCTGTCTGCAACTGACTTAGGACCAGCACAAGCTGCACACAGAAAGGTGAAGAAGGGAAGAGATGTTTCTGGTTATGTCTAAAAACCTAATGCTGTTAATATGTGACAAAAGGAGTATTGACATTTAGTATAATTACACATAATCCATGAAATTAAAATTATTAACAATATTTCAATAAATGATACAGAAACTATAACTAATAATGAGTCATGCACATAAGTTCTCTTTTTCCATAATACAAGGTTCAGATGTTACGTTCATTCTATCTCTCCTTTCCAGTTTCACATAAGGCTGACTATTCTTTACTATTATTATAATTGTACATCCTCTGCACAGTTGACTCAGGGACAATCCAGGTCTGTACTTGTGACATGTTCTTAGACGATTTTCCATCTTAAACAAGCCTACTCTAATATGATAAAAATCCATACAACTGAGGAAAGTCAAACTTGAATAACAATGTGTGAGAGTTCATGTGTAACAAATATGGTAACCAGTATGATGTAAAAAAAAAATATATAGATATTACCTGGTACATGGCATACTTGGGTACAATCTTAAGTGTGCGCAGGGTAGTCCTCAGATGCATGAACATGATTGACACGGGCCAGAGGGCAATGATGGTCAGTACGCCCACAAAAGGGTTAATCCATATAGCAGCACCAGAGATGGTCAACTGAAAGTAGGTTTGATCATATTACTCAAATATGTGTTAGAGATTACACAACACAAATGACTCATTATAAACAATACAAGACAATAGCAACACTGCGTCTTATGGGAATTACAATGAAAAACAGTCCAATGGTATTTCCACGATACCTACTTACATCAGCAAGATCAAAAGTCCCATCCGTCCACAACACAATTGAAAGGACGGTTAAGGCAATTTTCAGGACTGCAAACTGAAACGACCCCAGCTTTAGCAGGAAAAGAGTGCGCCTGGGGGGGGGGGAGAATTCAAGTTGATAGTAAAAAACAGGTTATAAAAGACATTTCCTCATTATGATGCTTTTGTTAAGATATTGTATGAGCTTGGACAAAAGAAAACATTCCCAGTCAAGTACTAGCACAATTAAAAATTCACTTCCTGAATACCACTTTGAATAGTATGGAACAGTTAAGATTTTGACAAATAATAAATCTAGTCAGATGTGTTTCGAAACAAAGAAAGTGCCTTAGACCAAGTCTAAAACTCTAATAAAAACATGACAGTGTCATTTTATTCTACAAACTATAAAATACATTACTTTTATCTTAAAAGGTACACAATGTAACTTCTGTGGTGGAAAGTTCGCAACCCGATTGTCTCCAATGAGATATTATTGTTTTGACTGGAATGTTCCACAGTATGGCATTTAACAATAATTTGTATTACCTCAAAGACCATGCATTTTTAGTGTGAACATGCTCTCCATGAATCTGACCTGTAAATTGGTGGTGGCATCACCTGCTTGTCTCCATGGAGCTAGACGAGTTTAATGATATGCTGTGGAATATTCTGGGTAAAGCAGTAACATCACCATGGAGAGAAGCAGGCAGCTTCCCTCCACCAGAAAAGTTACACATGCACCTTTAACAGAAGTAAAGAAATAATTAAACAGATGTTGAGAACCACAGAGGCAGATGATTGACAGCTTAGAAAAGAGAGAGCTTTTTGTCACACAGGTGCCTACACAAAAGGTGAATGACCCACAGAGCATTGCATTAAAGGATTGCATTGAGACAATTTTTACACAAGCTTTACACAGAACATCAAAGCCTTAAACCTTTGCTTGGACATTTTAGGACCACATGTTAGCTATTGTAATGAAGAGGAAGGGAGCTTATTTAGCATGGAGGCAACTGAAGGCTACTTTTCAATATTTACACAGTTTAAAGTGGACATCCAAACAAAGTTGGTCAAATTCCCAGGTCCCAGGTCAATCAGAAACAATAATACACTGCTGTTTAATGTAACTGGTTAACTATAACAACATATGATGGACTTATTACACCAAATAACTTTATATTTAGGATTATCAAACATCCGCAGTGGTGGAAGAAACACTCAATTTTGTTACTTAAGAAAAAGTACAGATAACAGAGGAAAAATACTCAAGTAAAAGTATCACATGAAAAAAATGTACTTCAGTAAAAGTTGTAAATTACCTGCATAAAAATGTACTTAAAGAGTAAGAAGTAAAAGTATTTCATGCAGATTTTGAGGTCTAATAAAGCTTGAAATGTGATACAGATTTATCCAGAATTTTGTTAAGCAGAAACAACTGAAACAGTTGTTTTTGGTAGCTGTTTTTATTTGTATATTTTAGTTTGCTCAGACTATGAAAAATATTAAAAAATAAAACTTGAGCCTTTTCAGCAGGGCTCAGACAATAATAAAATACTTAATTTTAAACATTACTTTGAGCAATGTGAATGTCCCTATAGTGTAATAAAGCACCAGTTGGATTTACATGAAGCGCTATACCATTCCACAGCCCAAAAATGACCAGTCTAAACAAACATCCCCTGATAACGTGTTCATTTTGAGCATGCATGAATGGTACAATATACCTAGTGATGGCCACATGGGGCAGACAGGGGCAGCAGCAGCAGCAGGGCCCAGTACTGATTCTCAATTTGTATTTTCCTGCCCGTTTTAGAAAGGCCTCATCTCCACCAACCTCCTCCAGCATCAAGGTCAGAAACTTGAACACCACAACGGCAAAATAGCTGGAAAATACACAGAAATGTTATTAGGATCGTCACATTATCATATTTTGAAGAGAGATATATTGCAAAAGAAAAAAAAAAAAATCACGGTAAATGATAATACTGAAACTACCTTTAAACCCTTTTATAAATGTATCATATTGTACTAAAGACATTAGATTCAACAAATAAATAAATTGCAGAATGAAGTCTGGGTTACAGCTCAAATCTTACTGTACATCAAAAAAGAAAGATTATTGCTTTTAGAAGATAACATAAAATAAAGATCTAGATGTAAAGACAATACTTAATAGGATGTAATAAATAAAAACTAGTATTTATTTAATATTTTTTGCACAAAATCATGCAGACCCAAAGTAATGGGGTTGGAAGGACTTGTTTAAATCTCTCCACATGGTTTGGAGATCCAATTTCTTTATGATTTCACAAGGCCAGAGAGTAAAAAAAAAAAAACATAATTTGAGCTGAGAGAAGAAAAGAGAGAAAGAAATGCAATAACACACCATGCTGAGGTCATGTCCGTAAACATGGTGGCTTTAGGGATCCACATGCCCAGGCAGGACATAGTGCCAATCACCTGGAGAAGACAAGACAATGTGAAAAATAAAAAATAAAAAAAACTAACAAAGACATCATTATTATTTATGAATATGTTGTGTTTCTTACAGGTGCTGCTCCATTCACCCAAATAATGATACTCTTCTTATTAGCTGGGACCTTCCTGTAGATGTATGCACACTCCTCCAGATACACCAGCATTGACACAACAGCCATAAAAGTGAGCACCGAGTACAGCATGATGCCAAAGATGTCCAGATCTACAGAAAACACAGCAATCACGTCTATATTTCAGACCACCTACATGAAATATATCCTACTACTGTTTTGTAAATTATCCAAATGACTGTAGTATGGAGTTTAAAAATACACTGGAGCACTTCCTGTATTACCACATGACCTCACAAGGTGGAACAGAGTGTTTTCTGTCTCAGAGTGGAAATATGATGTTTTTGTGTGTGTAAACGTGTAAATGAAACAGAACACAACTACAAGAATGTTTTTGATGAGGAAAGAACATGATAACAGGTAATCAGCATATTAAAATGTTGTAACAATGTTAAATGAAAATAGTGGTCTAACAGTATAGAGGTTACAGTAAGTCCTTGAGCCCGACAGTGATCTCATCTGAAATCCACGCCCTTAGGACAGAGCTGATATCACCATGTTAATCTTTATAAACCCTCACACAATGCGCTATAATGGCTGATTTTATTAATGGATTCTTTTGGGTTTTTTTTTTATCTGGCTGTTTATGTCACATTAACTTTAACTTTGAATCAATTAATTACTAAAATTATCCTAATTGCTGTGTGTTTTTAAGTGTGAAATAAGATTAGGCAATTGATTATATCAAATCTAAATCACTGTCTATGTTACATGGCTATGAAATACTACATAAAAAGTACAATTTTGAACTTAAAACAATCATGTAAAGACAGTCAAAAATACTCTTAAGCCAATGATTTATGATGTACCCTGCATTTAGGAGGAGGCTAAAACATTTTCAAAGAACAAAGAACATTTTCTGCATCTGTGGAAAGTTATACAGGACAACACTGTAAAGGAACACTGTGAGTATTGGAAGGACAAAAGCTACACCAGCTTGATAGATCAAATTATTGCACAATACTAAAGACACACAATCATCATCAAGCACTGAAATAGCATCAGTTAGCATTGAAATAAATTCGACACCAGTGATAAACCTCATTTGTGATAGCCTACCCTGCAGCGATTGATTTGCCTCTAAAAAGAATAAACACACTCTTGCCTAATATTTACAGAAATGAGTTCAATGACCAACAGTGCAACCAGAAAGAGGGGCAAGAAGGACAAACTGGTACTTCAGAGAAACTAGTACCACTGTCTAAATGAAAATAAGACAGTGTGTCTACATTTAGAGATGGTGGGAAACCGATTTAATATAGCCAATTTATTTAACTTATTTTGATGTTGTCTTATAGCAGAAATATTATTATAATCCTCCAATCTAAATATCAAAGTATCTAATTACAGTAATGAAATAAGATGTTGTCCATAGCGGATGTCAGCTTGGCGAACATCTTCTTTCACCTAAACCCATCCTCCTCCACAGAGACCAGCCCTGACCCTCCCGACCAGTTCTGTCTCATTGCCCCTGTTAGGATAAATAACTATGCTTAACTATTTTGTATAACCAGTGCTATAGATAATTTTTTTTGTAATTTTTGTTAATTTTTGTACCAAGATGAAGATAAGGGCTATTACAGCTGTGACACTCATAGATGTCAATACAAATGCGTGATACAATCTTATCTAATAGCAAACTAACGAAACAGGACAAGAACTAAGGACAGGGATGATGACATAACCTGAACACCCCAGATGGAGTCTGATTGGACAGTGCAATGCACCAAAAGGCCTGGCTGGCCAGCACAGGCCGATATTTAGTTTTGGCCGATCTGCCTAAAAAATTTACCCAAAGCTTTACATTAACACTTCAGTATGAAAAGATAGCTGCAGTAAATGTGAAACACTGCTCTCTTAAAGGTTTATGGTAAAGAAGTGCTGTGAATGAGTTTGCAGTAAATTTGAAATATATAATTTGAGAATAATCAATCAAATTAATCAAAATCATAGTTTTTATTCTATGCTTCAGTCTCTCTTCTTCCTCAGTAGCTCAGTCCATCAACTGAACCCTGCCTGAATTTAAGGAGTAATAATCATAACAGTGCCCTTCAAAACATCCAGTATGCTTTATATTGGATTATTGACTATACTGCCCTGCAGTAGACTGATGACTCCGACCATCGTCAATACTCACGCACATCCCACAATCATACTAGGCAAGGTGGGTGAAATGTCTTGCCTAAGGACATAAAAACTGTTTGCACTATAGCCACTGCCACCCCCCATCACATGTCACCTTGTATTCAAAAGCAGTTCAAAAACAGTAGCAGTCTAAATAAAACACGGGAAGTGGACGCAACAAAAGGCACAAGGCTCCAAAAGAGAAAAATAAACAAAAACAAAATAAGGTAGGCAAAAGTAGACGAAGTAGATCTTCTCTCTCTCGTTTTTGTGTGACAGCAAAATTATTGTCTGCATTGTTTCTACAGCATGAACAAAAAAATTAAAGTGGCACAGTGTATTAGTACACCATCATAGTAGCCAGGAACAGGCCTTCAAGAGTAAATATTTTGTGTAACTGTACTACTTACTGAGTATAATCTCGATGGCGTAAGGAGGCGGTTGTGTGCATCTCGGGTCTATCGTTACGTTGGATCTATCCATCGTAATGGCTGTTGTGGCGAACTTCCAAACTTTTTTGTCCCAGCCTAGACTTTTCCGAAGTGATCTCCTTTCCCAAGCAGCGGACCAAACTTTTAGAAGTAGACTTTATACTCGGGGAGACCACCAGGCACTTGTCACAAACTCTAGACCCGCCCTCCGCTTCGTCGTGCGTAATAAGGTGAACGGCCTGAGTGATCCAAGTCCAACAGACTGCTTCAAATACTGAAACTTGCCTAATGGTAAAGGCAAACCCTGCGCTTTTCAGCTTTTTATGGGTTTGGTTAACTTTGAGGGGCGCATGCATTATGATTACGCAGAGGGCGATATGAAGATATGTGCATAGGCCGACCGAGGAGGCGCTCATCACATGCCCACCGTCTCCATAGAAACGAGTGCAGAGCTACCGTCATGTGAGGCATTTGCACCAAATCTGGTTGCGCCTTTGGCTTCTGCTTTAGAACAATCCTTCTACAGATATAGTGCCCCCTATGCTGTGATAGAATAGGCCGTTTTTTTGTTTTTTTTTTTTTATTTATTTTTTATTAAACTTTTTGGATAGCGCTAGACAAGCTGAAAGCATAGGTTAAAAACATAAGGCCTAGTCTACATCACAACGTTAACGTAGTCTTCTACACCTACAGTATTTGTATAAAAGACATTAGAAGCAGCCTACCGGAATAAACGTACGCTGATTATTTTATTGATCATATTATAGCTAATTGAAAGTAAAAGACGTGTCACCAGATATATCAAACACGACCATTTCTCTCTCTGTTCTCACTAAGGAATCTCCTTCAGGCTGAAGCTCCAGAATCTGAGATAAAACAAACAAACAAACAAACAAAAACCTAAGCGCTCAAACTTCTGACATTATAAGTTGAAAAGTACAAACTTAAATAGCTCTGTGGTGGTCATTACAAGCATTTAACTCGTGTATTGGGTAGAAACAGAAGTAAAATACAACCCAAAGTTGAGTAGAAAAAAACAACCCAGTTGTAAAACCGTTGTCTCAGTGACAAGTGACAAGTCAAATAAACAAAGAAAAGTTTTCAGTAGTATGACAACAAATAAAATATGGCACATTTTAAACACCATTCTCAATAAGAAAATCCATGACCTTTTAACCATTTCAACATGGGCACCTTTACAATGCTTTTATTACAACGTAATGACATGTAATTAACTCAATCAACATTCCTCTGTTAGTCTCTTGGGTATCATAATTGGCATTGCTTGATTACTTGCTTTGCATATGTGTCAGACCCACCTACCCCCATGCCACAGAGGAACCCAGTCCAGTGTTTTCGTCACATGCCCAAGTGAGAAGACAGCTGGAGAGAGTTCATCTAAGCAAGTCTCCTGGACCAGACCAAGTCATCCCCGTGTGCTGAGTACATGTGCAGCACATCTTACTGGGATTGTGCACTTTCTCTTCACACTGAGTCTGAAGCTTGAAAGGATACCGGTGCTATGGAAGACCTTGCATTGTGCCAGTGCCCAAGAAGCCTATTCCATCTGGACACAATGACTTCAGACCAGTTGCTTTGGCATCTCATATCATGAAAGTGTTGGAGAGATTTGTTCTGGCTCAGCTCAGACCCCTGGTGGCACCATCCCTGGATCCTCTACTGTTAGCCTATCAGTGCCATTTAGGCGTGGAAGATGCAATAATTTATCTTCTGCAGCGGGCTCACTCACACCTGGATGGTGTTAACTCTTTCCCCCGTGGACGCCTACTTGGAACAACTCATACATATATTAGTATGTATGGGTTGCAGTGGTCCCCACCTATCACAGCCTCTGTTTTCATGTGAAAAACTGAGCCATTTGTAATGGTCATCAAATCACGTCTTTAATGATACAGCGGAAGTGTCAGAAGACGTCATTAAGGAAACAAGGGAGGGTCGTCAAATGTAGTCTTTATAGGGGAAAGAGTTAAGGGCTCTGTGAAGATATTGTTTTTAGATTTCTCCAGTGCCTTTTATACAATCAAGCCCTTTCTGATGAGTGAGAAGCTGCTCAGGATGGGTGTCAGCTCCTCCATTGTCTCCTGGATTAGGCTGCAGTACATGCGGCTGGGGACCACCCTGTCTGATACTGTGGTCAGTAATGTAGGAGTCCCCCTGGGTACAGTCCTGTTTCCATTTCTGTTTATTCTGTACACCTCTGATTTCCAGTACAGCTCCGAGTCCTGCCACCTGCAGAAGTTCTCTGATCAATCTGCAGTGGTGGGGAGAATCACAGAAGGACAGGAGCTTTTGTACAGGACACTAATTGCAAACTTTATGGAGTAGTCTCAGGCAAACCATCTGCTCCTGAATGTTGACAAGACCAAGGAACTGGTGATTGACTTCAGGAGAAATAGGACACTAGTGAAGTCCATCACCATCCAGGGCCATGAGGTGAAAATTGTGGACTGCTACAGGTACCTTGGCATCCAGATGAACGACAGACTGGACCGGAGGGACAATTGTAATGCTGTCTACAAGAAGAGCATGAGTAAACTCTACTACCTGAGAAAGCTCTGGTCTTTCAGTGTGTGCAGCAAGTTACTGGAGATCCTCTACCAGTCTGTGGTGGCCAGCGCCCTGTGCTTGGCTGTGGTCTGCTGAGGGAGCAGCACCAGGGCCATTGGGTGGATTTACAAACTGATTGGCAAAGCTGGTCATGTGACTGGCTGTGAGCTGGAGATACTTGTCACAGTGAGGGACAGGAGGACACTGGACAAACTGCTCTCCACCATGGACACGCCTGCTCACCCACTGCACCAGAGAGGCAGAGGAGCTCATTCTCCAACAGGCTTCTACAGCTCTGCTCAAACAATGACAGATACAGGACTACATTCATGCCATACTCCATACAACTGTACAACAACTCACCCTTATGTAACAGATAATACTCCCTACAACTATACAACAGTTCACCCTTCTTTAATGGATAACCATATGTCCTGTCAATCATCATATCATTGTTGCACTGTCTTCCTGTGACCTCTTGTATAAAGCTGTGATTTTATATTTTATTACTTATATTTCTATTTTATTTTTACTTGTACATTTACATTTACATTTATATAATTATATCTTATTTGACACAAGTCTCTTGCTCTTTTTTGCTACTTATTTAGAATTTATTATTACCATTTAAATTTTTCCTCTTTGTTATATTATATTGTGATGTGTGAGCTACTGTGTCCCAATAATTTCTCTTGTGGACCAATAAAGTTTGTCTATGTCTAACTCTAAACCAAAGAAAAAAAACAAAAAAAACAGGACTGAACCAAGACTAATCTTGTACTTGAGAGAGAGAAAGAGAGAACCCCGAGCCCGGCGCAGGGTGTCCACAAAGCGTGATCGGGCTGCGGCAGAGTTTAGCTCCATGGGCGCGGTTCGCTGCGCTGGTCCTTTGGCTCATACTCACCCGACGGTCTTCGCAGGCGCACCTCCGGGCCCATCCCTTTACTCAGTCCTGGTCCAGTCCTGGTCCCTCATGTGGCAGGTCACTATAGGACAGTACTGCAAATATCATGAACCTATGCAGGTTGTCGTCACCATTGCCAATTGCTCCAGTTTGACATTTAAATTGTAGGATTTTTTATATTTGTTTTTTTTTACGCCAAGTGGGTGGATGGCGTACCCCCACGTACCACACCTTCTACACCCCTGATCATGTGTGATATGCTGTGTAGTAGCATTATAACTATTCTGTGTAATGTCACAGAATAGTTATAATAAAATAATATAATATAATATTATATTATTATTAGGCCTACTTATAACGCCTCATTTATTTACTATGAATATGAATGTCTTTCTGTTTTTTTAAATATAGTATATATTGTTTGCATATATGGTCTATTTGTATGTTAATAAGTAAATTACTAAATTAAAAAAAAAAAGATTTGAAAATAAGTTCCGACAAAATCAGCAAAAATAAGTTTTAAACCTCAGTGCTTCAGGCATTGGCCTATTGGCATTGTGTAGATATAACACATGTTACCAGTACAACAGTAAATTGGGTTAAAACCAAAACTGCTGGGTCAAAATAACCCAGCACTAGGTTATTATTTTAAGTAGGTTGGATTTTTTTAAAACATTTTTTTTAGAATGTATAAGTAGGCCTACTGATGGTCTGTCCAATCTTAGATATGTGCTTTTCTTTGTAACCAACTGATCACACTTAAAACAAAAAGTAAATCAATGTTTTGCGTATTTTTCAAAGAAAGTAGAATAAAAGACTATTGAAATAAAACCCATAGAGAACTTAATATTGTTGTTTGTTGCTAATATGGACACCATTATCAAAATCCAGTAAGAGTGCTCTAGGTAGGCTATCCTACCCTATTTGATTTGTTTTATTTTTTACAAGTAACCATTGAATCTAATATGCTCTACTTTTTCCTTTTAACACTAATTTGTTGGTCCTCTGGCCTTGCAACAGCAGCCAGCTATTTGTTTAACCATGACATGAGACTGAGATTGTGGTTAATGATGAAGTAACAACAATCTGTGACAATGAGGAAAACCTTTGGCATCACAAAACAAATCTTACCACAAACAAATAATGTGACACATTATTATTCATTTGGTTCATGATTGAAAAAAAAAAAGACATTTATTGTTGATGTATAAATTAAAAACATTAAAATAACAATTATTTCCAAACATAAGCATAAAAACAATATGGCATAGTACCAACAATGTAAGGTCTAGGCAGCGTTATTTGACTGCATTTAAGAATAAAAAAATAATAATTCTTTGAGTGGATATGGCTTATTTTTTAAGTTGTGACAGAGCATAATAAAGCCAACTTAACTTAAACATTGTGGAGAAGTAGTAATAATCTGAATGCCATGCTTTGGGTACATTAAAAATCTCATGGCATAAAATTAATTTCTCTCATATCATTACAAAAACACACAAATAAGCCTTACAAAATACACAACCACACACACACACACACACACACGCACACACACACACACACACACACACGCACACACACACACACACACACACACACACTTTAGTCTCAAAGGCAAGGTGCCCACAGAGGAGGCCACTGTAAAACAAAGAGGCTACAGAAAGACTTTAGCTACTCATGGGCTTCAGCCTACCGTTTATAGGGCACCATTTTTGTTGTAGTTAACTGCTGTGGCAACCGTGACATTTTTTCTGAAACCCATGGATTAGCTAGAGTCCAATATAAATTAGGTTCTTCAAGTGATATGGTGGAAAATCCATCCCATCACATACTGTATCCTGGAACATGAAATAAATGAAGCTGAGCTCTCATAAAACAAACTGTATATACTTAAAACAGCCATTATAAAGTATTATAATACATTTTGGTTATAAAAATGTGTAGAATAGAAAAAATAATCAAAATAAAAAGCAGGCTATAATCTGTCTCAGACTGAGGTACATTCTGCACAAGTGTGACAACAATTAAACAACAGCTAACACCACTGGCTCACTCGACACAATACAAAGAGTTGTAAACATCGGGAAGGTCAAAGGGCAAGCGACATCAGTGGGAAGGAAGAGAGACATCAGGAATCAGGCTCAGTCTCATTTGAAGAAATCATGATTTGTGAGGAAAAGGCTTTCCAAAATGGAATTAGAAAACTTGGTTAGTTTTGGCATTTCAGAACCTTTAGGAGCTCAACCACATCCCAGATGTTTAACACAGACAAAAACTGTTAAGTATTAACAGTACACAGTCACTTCAGACCCACCTAATAAATGTGGGTTCAAAAAACCACCGTTCAATTAGAATAATTAGAACTTTATAAATGATTTATATAGTAATATAAAATGCTTCAGATTCTTGTAGAAATTAAGTGAAACAAAAAGTAACTTGAGCCCAGAGATTCTCGTTGAAAGCACTCATACCGCTCTGAAACAGCTGAAGTTATGTCACCACCTGCTGGCCAACACCAATACTGCAAGGACATCATAATCCACTGTGAAAGCAGCGGCTGACATCCTGTAGAAAAATGGCATCCATACTACTTATCCATTTGGTTTGATGACATATTTGGCAGCAGGACAAAGCGAGGATGCTGTAAACACTTCAGGGCTAAAGTTTTGGGGAAGCCCTTTTTTGGTGTCTTGGTAACCTGATGAACGCTGATGTACCCGACAGTGGAGACGAAATGAGTTGATAGAGTTAAGCACAGAATTAACTAATTAACTATGTGGAAAAATGTTTTGCACCAAGTGAAATATGTATCAAGCAGCATGTGATACTATTTTTTCTTTCTCATTAGAAAATCGCATACATAAAGAGTTGAAAACAGAATAAATCACACCCAGCATTCATTGTACCTGTAATGTTGGGTAGGCTAAGAGCAGCACTTGCTGTAATGGTAATTATAAACTACAAAGTGCAATAGCGCCATCTTGTGCTCTGATATCCAATTTGCAATCCAAAACCCAGTGTGTTAAAGTCCAGAGGCAAACCTTAGTAATGAGTAGGTTTTAGACTGGAATAACATCTCATATTTTTCTCACATATTTAAAAAACAAAGAGGAAAAAATACAAAAAATTCAACAGCCTTGTGTCGAAGGCAAAGTATAAGAAGGGTGCACTGCATCAACTTTTGGCACAAATAGCTTCCATAATATGCTCTTAGTAGAATTAGAGAAATAAAAACATGTTTAGCGAATGTGACAAGATGGTGGGTGTGAGGTTTCAGGACAGATGCGTTTCCCATAATTACTCTGGAGGAGGCGAGGGGCTTTGGGTGCGCTGGGAGACTGTTACCACGGCGACAGCCTAAACTGTTTAACGGTCGGTTAAGGCATCATCAGACAAAGGAGGATTACATCCTGTGGCAGAGATGAAAAAGACAATGAAACCTCAGAAATAACTGGACACATCACTGTCATAATCACACAGGGCAGAGTCTGGGTGAAATGAACTGTTGGCATTATGTTTTCAGAAAGCTGAAGAAATCAGACCTCATGTATACCTGGTTAGGACTCGCTCTCCATAGTGACTGTAATGGTTTCACTTCCTGCTGTCAATGCAAACATACAGCAATTAAAAGCAGAGTCAATAGTAATAAGAACAGATGTTTAGACTTGATAAAAATGATTCAGACCTGATTTGGGGGAGTTATTGGACAGATGGTCTTCTACATGGTTAGTGTGCTGGTCATCGCTCAACAGCCGGTTCTGTGAATCGCTGAGTGGACTAGCAGGAACCTCAGTAACACTGGCAACACGATAAAGACACCTTGAGTAAATACTAGCAGAACATAGAGATAGATAGCATAACACAATATAGATCTTTGATTCAAACATTAATCACATTTTACTGGGCTCTGGGTGTAAGGTGACTGTGGCTTGCTCTACATCAACATTCACCAGCCTCGTTGGGAATGTCAGGCCATCTCCCTGACTGTAAACAAACAGGACAAAGACACTTGTTAAACATGATCAAACATGATCATGAATTATACTATAGAATGCATTATAAGAACTTACCTAGTGAACACAGGCAGCAACCAGTATTTTTTTTGGTCCCCAAAGACTTGAGCAATGTTCTTTCGGAAACCAAGAGAGAAGCCATTTTTATCAGAGCCTGTCCTGAAGACAGGGGCTCTAAATGCCTCTGTCACATGAAAAATGGTATAAAATTTATTTCATAACATTCACACTTATAAACCTTTTGAAAAATGTCTTCATAAATTTTAGAACGGAGTGAGAGTCTCTGAATGGCAATGAAGACAAAATAGGAAGAAAAATCAATAATGTATACAAAAGCTTATTTCCTGTTTTGTGTGGAGTACTTACCTATGGTGGATCTGTTCTTCCCCACAAGCCACAGATGGTAGCTGAAGAGGGACAAAATACTAATGCAGAACATGGCTGCCACAAAAAACAGAAATAAGACGTGGAATTTAGCATGTGTCGCTGTGTCTGGCAGCTCATTCTGGGGAAGAGACAAGAGCAGAGGGAGAGAAAATGATAAAAGATTAATATTTGTGAAAGGAAGGAAGACAATGAATGAAAACAGGAAACTCCGATGGAAGATTGTGCTCTATCATCAAAGTTACAACTATGAAACATGCAAATGATGACAAACAACCATCCACGATGGACCGCCGCACTTACGGCTTTCGAGTTTACCTTTGGGCAATTCTCAGCCGCTTTCCTCCGACAAAGCTTTAGTACAAATAGAAACAACACTGGTTAGCAACAGCAGGAAAGAACAGGTGGGAGTGGACAGAAGGTAAACATGAGTCAGGAGTCAGGGCCACCAGGAAATGAACATGTGGAGAAATACACCAATGTTATGAGGCAACAGGAACATAAACTGTGAGGAAATTAAGATGTAACAGGCAGTTTGTTTCCTTCACCGCATCATGATGAGATATTAACTTAAGTAGAGAAAATGTCATTATTTCAAATCATGACATTTTAAATGGACACCAAAGGATACAGGATATTCTGAGATTCTTATCTATGATTACTTGCAGTTTTATCAAGTTTATTGTACCATAGGAGAAGTTCAGTGAAACCAGCCATCTAAACTGCTAACCATTTTATGAAGGAGATATGTGGCATTTTTTGTTTGATATGCAAATTAATTTTTTATTTATTTGAAACAGGGACAGCGCACAATTTTTACATTAACCTTTTTTTCAGGACAGATGCATTGTACATCAGGTTGTAGTATCAGTGCTAATCTCCACCTGTACTCCCTGGGCAGATTCATTGATTGATTGTATTTAACTGACCTTGACTATCAACTGTTCTTAGAGACCTATGTAGCATGTTTTGGGTTATATAACTACAATAATACAATAACAATAACTACATGCAATCCAGAAATAAGTAGATGCAGTGAGCTCCAAAACAAGTGAGTGAAACAATGAGTGAGTGTTGAGGGCGGCATGTTGGGAAATGTAGAGAAGGCACCAAGTATTGTGCCCAGTCTGCAATGTTCTAAGGACACAGGACTGAAATTTACATCAACATTCATTACTTCACACACTTTAGTAGTTTAACTTGAAGCATGCAGGTTTATACTCACTGTCCAAAATTTTATGAAATACTGTAGGACTGTGGCAGCAATAAACAGACAGTACACCAGCGAGTAGGCCAAGAAGAGGATGAAAAACTTGTAGTTGGAGAAGCCGACACAGTTGTTTACCCTAGTGACAAAAACAACAGATTGGCATCTCTACTCAGCATTAATTTGATGATGATGTATCAAAAATGAATGTAGTAGCATAACAACGATTGCAGAACAGCTTAGTACCAGGGACAATGGTGATCCATCTTTAAGACACACCTAAAAAAAAAAAAAAAAACAGTAAAAAACAATGTAATAATGCTGATAAATTACAGAATCACTGAGCTACAGAATTATTCTACAGTATTATTATAATACAGTGAATTCTTACATGTCGCAGGCGGAGCAATGATGACATCTGTCTGGTTTGATAACTTGACAGCGATCACAATAACGTATGGCTGCATTGTAAGATCAGAAAAAAAGATTTATTACAATAAAGCACACATCAACCCACTAAACATGACTGAAGTAAATTAAGTAAAAGTACAATGAAGTATTTGGATCTATGACAAAGCAAATACAACCCTGGACTCAAAAGATCAACAAACTGTTAAAATGTTATTGGCAGGCAATAACAACAAGTGTTGTCCAAGTGAGGTTTGAATGTCTGGGGCAGAAGACGTTTATTTACCATCAGTCTGGGACCCGGTGAACTTGAATACTCAACATTGTGCATTAGTGTTGGCTATTTTAGTCTGACTATGCTTCCACACAAGGAAGTTTAAATATGAGCTAAGAAGGACAGTTTAGAGACTGTAGACCAAGGAAGCTGATAATGTTATAGAAAGCAAATTCTCTAACAGTTGGATAACGCCATAGTGAGAAATGTCAATAATAATAAAACTGGACTTTGCAGGGGATGCAAAATTCCACAACAATTACCAGATAAGATTTTTATTAATGAAGGCCCCATGTATAAGTTGACTAAAAGGGGGCGATGTGCAACAACTGAACACTATTCTCTACAGTCTCTATGATCTGACCATGTGATCTGACCAACTGACTCTAACTGAACACATCCCAAACTCACAGGAGTTCAGGCAATAACAACTTTGCAGAGGAATTTACTAAAAACTAGTTTATATCTACATGTAAAAAAAAAGCCCTGGACTAATCACAGCATTCTTATGTTACGACTACATCAGGACAAAATGTGGCATTATATTTCCATTCTCACTGACAGGAATAGCTTAAAATACAATAAAACTGGCCAACCACCACCCCTCAGCCTACCTCCAGCTCCTGTGCGCGTGTAAAGAGGCAGAGTTGATGCCACACGCCACAAAATCTCCTGTTGAGATTCAGGACGCTCCTCCTTTTCATAACGCTCTTTTTCCACCTTGGGTAAGCAGAACTGGTAAAGAAACAAAAACATTATTATTTTAATGGTGCTATGATCAAGTCTAGAGAAGAAGAGTTTACAGTGGCTGAGTTAGTTCTACCTCTTTGGAGGGGTTTGCAGGTTTGGTGAAGATGGTCTTCCAATAAGACCATACAAACATTATGAATGAGAGGTGGAAGAAGATCAAGTAGACAACTGGACCAAAACAGTAAAAGGTATGGCATTAACAAACATGGGGCAGCAAACCTCAAAGAGTTAATGAGGAAAACTGCTGTCAAGACATGGGCTGTACATCTGAATAATAAATTGATGAAAGGGGGAAGCAAGAACAGCGTGAAATGTTCTGATCCAAGCAGACTTCCATCAGCATTTACTGACAGTCCATTTCCGTGCCAACTTTTTTTTCCCCCCCGTTTAGCTAACTCTACAAAGCATATGTCATTGGCCTGGTGGAATTGGAGAGACAAATATCTAGACACTTACTTTTTTCTCCGATATTTAAGATGGTAACTGCAAAATAAAAGACAATTACAATTAGTGGACTATAGATGAAAATCACAATTTCTAAATTCACTTGGAGTGATTAGTTGTCTTTTTATTTCATGCCCATTAAAAAGCAAATGATGAAAGAATAGATTACTGTGTTTTTTGTAATATTAAGTAGCACAAAGGCTATTAAATGATATAACGTTAGTCAACTTCCCACAACAGAGTATATTGCTTGTTATTCCATCTAATCTAAAGGCATCCGAATGAGATACCAACAGCATATACACAGCTAAAGGCAGACGGGGAAAGTTATTTCCTGTATCTTAAGTTAGTCAGTAATCTGCGAGGGGACAGTTAATCAGCTGGATCTAGAATTGGTTTCCCCTAACCATTGTTGAGCTGCAGTCCATTTAATGTTACTTCCTGCTGGTCAGCGAATGCTGTTTGGGAGGAAGCGGAATAAAAACAGCGGCGAAAGCGGCTTATAAAAAGCAAAGAACGTGTACTTACATATACATAGCTGCACTACATAAGCATAATACGACCAGCAAACGACCAGAGCGATAAATATTACAGGTATCCATGCTAAACCTCGTTGACAGCATCTCAGGACGTGAGTAGGCGCCATCTTTCTCTCTACACTGAGGAAAAGGCAGTCTGTGGGGAAAAGGGCGTGGCCATGGGTGACGTCACATATCCAACACAACGTGCCCATTTTATTTTATTATTTTAAACATTTATCTTTTTATTGATATAAACCTAAACTCAAACTTTTTTAAAAAGGGCAAGTAAACACACGTAAGACAGTAAGACAGTTACTGCATTTTGCCTAAATGTAAAAAAAAAAAAAAAAAAAAAAAAAAAACCCAAAAAAAAAACAAAACAAAAAAAAAACACTTGAGGCACAGGGAGAAGGGGCAAAAGGAGTACCCCTCTGCATGTGCCTGGTAACAGGGGAAAGAACGTTTGCAGAGGCAGAAAGAGAAGAACACATATGTTGGCCCCAATCCTGGCATCACCACCTTTCCCCTCTGACTGGAGGACATTAAAGTGGAGACAATCCAAGTTAAGGTTGAGATTCCAAAAATAGCAATGAAATTTGGCATAAAACTCACTCATCCACTTAACATTTTCTAGTATTTGCCCATTATGATCAAAAGCACACGATCCCAACAATTAGGTCTTTTTGTTGATGGTTGTTGTTACATAAAATTTAACTGTGATTAAATAATAATGAGCTGTTATTTAGGTTCAGTATGCTATGCCTGATTTTTAACCCTCGCCAGGCAGGCGTTGCAGATTTGCAACAGCTAAATGCCAGTTACCTACTTACTCCAAATCCATATTTTATTAGCTTTTTTTTTTACTCAGGAGCCTTTTTTCCCCATCCATGCTGATAAACATGGACGATGCAGACTGTGCAAGAATGGCTACACACAAACGGCCTGCCAGAAGTGCAAAGTACTTTTGATGTTTACAAAGGATAAAAATTGTTTCTTGGAGTACCACACGAAAAAATGATGTTGTTCTGCCACTGTAAAGCACTTTTACACTGTGCTTTATGTTTTCATTGTTATGAAAAGTGGTATACACATAAAGTTAGCGTTCATATCATTTTCAGTCTTCAGTGTTAATTTACCACACCGGACCAATGTTGCTAATCTGCAACATCTCAGAACGCATTGGATGTGAAGGTCTCTCTCTCAAAAAAAAAGTCAGGATTATATATTACTACCCCATATGATCATTTTCCCCAAATATCAGATTTTTTCCTGTTACTAAAATTTAATTTGAGCCTGAGAGGATTAATAAGTATAACACAAGTACATATGACAGTGACTAAAATATAACACTAAATTGTAAGTTTTATTTAATAAATTATACATAGACTTTAAGATGTACAATGATCATTGCATTAATCCATGTCATCTTTAAGACAAAGTTTGTGTTCAAAGTATTTACACATGTACAATTATCAGGCAGAACTTTACAAACGCTGAAATCAAACTCTAAACACTTTTCTGTGTCCATCTATCAATTATAATACAAGTCCCAACATAAATGGGCAAGATTCAGAAATCCACCAAATCCACCAAGACTGACAGGTGGAGACTGACAGGTGCTGAAGATGAAAGTGGCTTAGCCAGAATATAGTGCGACATACTAATCTGTCACTGGATTAGAGGTATGAACTGAGCTTGTTCTTCCAGTCTTCCGTTCATAGTTTACAAGTCTCTGTCCAACCAGGTATCTGCAAAGCAAATGTGATTTATTTTAATAAGGGACATTTAACTTCTATCTATTAACATATCTATTAAATGTCTTACTTGTCATTTTTTATGTGTTCATAAAGGCGTTTAAACTGCCGGATCTGGAAGGAGAGGATACCAATAAGTGAGACTACCATCAGAAGGAAGGGGTATATCCTCCTCTGCATTAGGATCTCCATCTCTGGGGTCACTCCTATGCAAAAAAACAAACAAACAAAACATTAAACTATTAAAATCATGCTATAATATAAACAACATGGAAGTATAAAAATCACTTAAAAGTTAGGAAAACTTTTTCCTCAACACTAACCTACAGCAGGCACCACTCCAGCAGCAATTACATAGGGCACACACAAGGACAGCAGCAAAACTGAGATGACAGGAGCGGCCAGTTTACGGATTATAAACTGGAGATCAATGTTGCGAATACCATTTGCATAAACCTAAAACAACAACAAAAAACAATTACCGGTTACATCATTATTAAAACAAACAAACAAAAAAAAAGAACATAGCATAAAATGCACTCAGTTAAAGGTTCTAAACAACAATTCCCATCTGGCTTTTATTCCACTGCCATCTTATATAGTAGTAAAAGCAATATTACAATTATAAACTATAAATTATATTGCAAATGTATTCATCTAAATATTGCAAGTAGGAAACAGAAAATAAGGAATTCCAATTGAATGAGTAAACATTTTTTGTGAAATCTTGCAAACTACATACTATTGTTGTGTACTGTACTGTATTTTCCACAATAACATACTGTACCTGCTCAATAACTGTCTTCAGCCACCACTGAGGTCCCATTAACGTGATTGCAGCAATGATTTTGGCATGAAGAACTCCCAGAGCCCAGTCCTGTACCAGAAAAGAAATCTTAATTAAATATATGAGACAGTCACCGGATATTCTCGGGATAGTGGATGGTCTTATTGTACCTGCCAGGGGTAGAAAAGAGGCGTTTGGTCCAATGGGACTCTCAGAGGAGCAACAATGACCAGTTCAAACAGCAGTCCAAGCAGCAGGGGAATCACACCCGCCACCAACAGAGCCACAACCAGAGTCTTAAGAATCTACAGCAAATAATTACCAGAAAAAACAACAACAAAAAAACATTATTCATTCATAAGTTTAAATTTAGTATAGGACAAGACTGTCAATAGGAGAGTTTCTCAACTGTGCTCATTCTAAGGGATGGCAAGCAAAATTACTATTTGTAATATGGTTAGGTTGTGTGTCATAATGCAGTATATATTATGTGGATCAGCCTTTGTATAAATCTGATTAACGGAACAGTATGTAAGATTATCGTTTTAATAAACATGATCTATCTGTATTCCCCGATGTGAGTCAGACATGTTCAAATCAAATGTTGTCCGCTCTGATCTGAATCATGACTATCTAAACCCACCCAGACCATCATTAATCAGTGCTAGTGCAGCCTCTGCAGCTCAGTGAAGCAATTCTGGAGGTTCTACAGGGATCGGAGTATCTGTTAATATATTTTAAACAGTAAGAGCACAGGCTACTTTCTTTTCCTTTATACACCACATAATCAAAGCGGGCATATTCCAGGGGGCCTTCATGTCATAATAAGACATCATTTTATTCTAGTAAGTATCTGAATACAAAGCATACCATAAGTGTCCACTCTTGGACTTTGCGCATGATGACCGTGCGTCCCTGGGGCATCCAAGCCAGCATCACAGTGACTCCACGAATAGACAGCCAGCACACATAAAGGCCACATGCTGCAGTGTACAGCTCATGGATTTTAGAGTTTCCAGTCCAGAAAGACATTAGCCAACGACCAGCAAACACTACAAAGGAAGATGAAAACAAATTAACTAAAGAAAATACATTAAGCCCCCCCATTCAGTATGCATACATACATATAGATTATGGTTGTAAACCACAATAATGATCTAAAACAGTTTAATAATAGAAACATCATGTCATGTCTTTAGTTTTTTTATTGTTTAAAAATGTCCATGTTACATGTTTTATCTTTATCTTACTTATATGACTCTGAGTCTGGAAAAATTGCAAATAAGTACAGAGCAGTTGATAGGCAGAGAGATAGGCAATAGGTGAACACAGACATTTTCTGAGCACTCAAGCCTCAAATACAGGACTACACAGGAACACCCAAACATAAATAACTCAAAATACAATTTTGACTGAGCTAATGATGAGGGAATATGTTAGATGGTTAAAAGTTTAAGTTTTAAGTCTATTTGTGTAATCTAAGTCTATTTTGCTTAATACATCCCCTAAATATTCGTGAGGATTTATGAGAAAATTCCTAGGCATGAGCAGGGTGTAAGGATGCTTGAACATACAGTTCCAATTTTTAAATAATAGGCATTAGAGAAGTATGGTCTCTAATTGTAGTTTGGGTGTGAGTTTAAGTAAAACAGCAACTGACCTTTTTCTGTACATGTCAAGTTCATACCTGGTAGTGTTAGACAGACTAGACTGGCCAGCAGCAGCGTAATGCACATGAATGCAATCAGCAACACAATCTAAGACAAAACAAATGTATCACATTAATAGAGCAGTCATAAACAATTATCTATTAGGATTCATAAAGAAACAATTATCTATTAACATGTAAAAAGTAATTGTCTTGTTTTCCTTTAGACCTACTCTGAATGGGAAGCGAAGAGGTCGGTGGTAGGGCTGAAAACCTACTGGCCCTCCCTGTTGCAGGATTGCCTGGTGGGCTGCATGTAACCCCTCCCCAACAGCTGGAGCTGGATTATTGTTGTTATGGTGACCAGGGGCGGGGTTGTTATTATTGTTGTTGTTGACGGGCTGGTTAGTGTCATTGTCTTCCTGCTCTCCAAGGAGGTATGAATGAAGGTCTCTGAGAAGACACATGAAATTGATAGTTTATTATATACTGAACTAACATTTTCTATATCTATATTATATAATACAAGTATGTTTTGAGTGTGCCTACAGTAAATATCCAGCACTGACGGTCCATGCTCTGACCAGGCCCTTGAGCCACTGGCGAGTGTGCCCCTGCTCCAACAGAGCGGGCAGCACAACCTGTAGTAACAGCAGCTCCAATGACAACTCACTGACAGGGGCATCACTGAGAGAGAAAGACAAAACATATTCACATATAATATATATATATATATATATATATATATATATATATATATATATATATATATATATATATATATATATATATATATATATATATATATATATATATATATATATATATATATATATATATATATATATATATATATATATATATATATATATATATATATATATATATATATATATATATATATATATATATATATATATATTTATTATCTATTTTTACCTATAGAGCATGACATTGTATGGGAGGAAAGTGGGCAGCAGTAGTTTGATCAGCCTGATGGGAAGCCATAGCATGAGCAGAACAATGGATCCAAACACAACCACAGACAAAATGAAACGCCTCAGGTGTCTGTAAATGGGCAGGTGAATCATTTCCTGAACTGGGTTAAAATCTGGGTCATTGAGGTTTCTCAAGAACCAGAGCACGCCAGGCCTTAAAACCTGATGAAGGAAGGACAGGAAATTAGTGGGTGAAAAAGGACCAAAATGTAGTCTACAGAATAATTAAAATAGGGTACCTCTCTCAGAAGGAGGATGAATGAAGCAAAATAGAAGACATAGACCATTCCGACGAGCCAGTGGAGAAACATAGTTGTGCCAGGTGCCGATTTAAAACTTAACTCTCTGTCTTTAAGTGAGGCATCAAACATCTCCTACAGAAAAAAATTATTTAAATTTATATAAATGTAAACAGAAATTATAAAATAAAATAAAAAAATTTGAAGACTTTGCAGGCAAGGAGTGGTTCATTAATTCCTCTAGGACAGCATTATTAGTCTCTTTAGGTCAAAGGAGGTGGAGAAGCTTCTTGCCAATGATGCCAAGGATGACCAACTGTCTGTTTGTCTTTACCCTTTGTACAAAATGCTAGATCCAGTGTAAACAGATCCAAATATAAAAGTCGTAAGAGACTCTTACTAGGGAGCAGATGTCAAGCCACCAGCCACAAATGAGCGGAAACACCCCTATTTCCACAACGACTAACAAAGACACCTGTGTAAGACAAAGGAAAGCCATATCTCAAAAACGAATGTTTCTTACAATGAATTATGTGTCAACAGGTATTTGCACATAGATACAAAGTAAAACAGACATGTGCAGAAATCTTACCTTAACAACAATGTAGCAAACTCCAAGGAGACGCCGTGAACGCTGAAATCTGACCAGAGCCGCAAGTCCCTTAGACAATGATTAAGGTCTAGACATTTAAATACTTACAAATGGATCCTAATGTAAGATATATTTGTTTTAAAGTAAAGTTGCTGTTATATTTTTTTAAGTAAGGCATAAGAAGTGAAAGGATACATGACAAAGGATCAGGGTCATTGCCAACAAGATGTACCCCACAATGGTTGTAATTAATCCCTCGAAATGTGACGCTTGAACCTGAAGCAAAAGTAACACTGCAGTCATCTCAAAAAATAAAAGCAAAAATATTTTAGATAGAAAAATTTTGATTCTTACATATTCTTCAAAACCAAGACCAACAACGGAAAAGTGTCCAATGTGGTAGGGACAAAATGCTGGAAAAAGGGTAATGAAAAATAAATTCATTCATTCATTCATTCTAGCAAAGGTGAATCTCAAAGAAAAAGGTGTACTCACCAAATACCAAGATGAAGAGTGTGTTCAGAGACACAACCCAAAACACATGCTCCTGGAAAAGGAGACAAATGTACAATTTAAAACAGCTTTTAAATGACAACTGTTTCTAATCATACGTCAAAACCATGCATCAAATTATATTTAAATTAACCTTACCAAAAATACTAATGACCCATCAAGACCAAGCATCTGTATGAGGAAAAATAGCATTCCAATTGAATAATATTGATGTTATATAGCTAACATTTTTGCATGCAGGATTGTAAATGGTTACCCTTTCCCAGGTAAGCTCCTCAGCTGCTCTGTCCCACTCCAAAGCATTCCAATTCATGTCATCTAAAAAAAAGAGAAAATACATAAACATAAAAATTAGGGCTGGGCAAAAATACATTTTTTAAATTGCGATTAATCGCATGAGTTCGAGCGATTAATCGCATGTTATACGCAAAACCAATTAATGAATTAAAAAGTAGAGTATAGCGCTCTTTTATTGGAAATGTAAATGAAAGAGCCATACATTTGTTGTGCAAACACAGGGGAATCCTCAGAGCCTTCAAGGTATTCAGGGAAGGCTCAAGAAAAAATATTGAATGGACGTTTGTACTACTAATATATTTATTGAATATTTTTTATGCTGTGAGTAATGAACACTACACTAGTAAAAATTTCTAGATCAGTGTTATAAACTTGGACTGATATTTCTTAGGAAACAAAGGGTTAATATAATGGAATGGAAATGGACCAATCACATTTTTCTTCCAATGGTATCTGGGTAAATCAGTTACTCCAGCACTGAACTAAAGAAATAAGATCAGCTCAGAGAGCACGGCTGGTCCAGCCAGACCTGGAGCCCACAGCCGGAGACGGAGCCCGCGGCTGAACCCGTGGCTGAGTCCGCGGCCGGAGCCCGCGGTCGAACTTGCGGCCGGAGCCGCGACGAGAGTCGGAGCCTGCGGCCGAACCCGCGGCCGCCGGGCCCGCGGCTCGCGGAGGCTCGGGCACGTTGCATCTCACGTGGTCAGAAAAAAGTGAAAAAAGTGTAAAGAAAAGACATCAAACTTAAAGAAACACTCGCGATGGACTTTTTCAAAATAAAAGCCAGTGAGAAACAGATGTTTACAATAAAATAAATAAATAAATAATAAAAACTGCGTTAATGGCGTTAAAATAATTGTCGGCGTTAATGACTTAATTAGTTAACGCAAAGTTAACGCGTTAACGTGCCCGGCCCTAATAAAAATATACTCTTTTATTACTCATTATGCAACCACCATTTGTCAACAAGTCAGTCTCTTTTTTCCTATTTTCACTCATAAGCTTTTTATAGGAGAAATTATAGGATCAATTCCACATGTAAAAGCTGGTATTCCAATTTCTGTGGTTGGCAAGCTGCTCATTAATTGAAATACTGGAATTCTGTTGAGCAAGATGAAATAAGTATAGTTTACCCTGTGCTCCATTGTTGGCATCAGGATCCTCAGCAGCTGCTCCCTCTTCTTCCAGCTCAGGGTCCTGGCCCTGGTCAGGAGGGCCGTCAGGGCCATCGGGAGGCTCTGGCTCTGCCTCATTGGGGGCCGGAGGATCAGCTGGAACAGGCTGGGGTGCAGGAGGCACATCAGGTGCTCCTTGGCCAGCAGCTTGTGCCTGGAGGAGAAGGTCAACATATAACCAATGCTAAAATGGAATTAACTGTGACTATAGGTTTTAAAGGTGTAAAAAAAAAAAAACATTCATGCGTAAACTAATGACACTTTTTGATACAAAGAAGATCAAATCAGATTACCTCATTTGCTTGTCCAGCGGCATTGGGGGGCGGAGGCTGGTGCTGTTCTAACCATTGAGGTGCACCGCCATGGACTATTTGTTCTCTGAGCCATACCAAGCTAATGAATGCACATAATGTGCAAGTGACCACAAAGCAGCCTTGTAGGCAGTCTGCAAGCAGGTTTTCACTGTAAAATTAAGCACAGAAACAAGAATATTAATATTAATAATGAATTTAAGATGTTACTTGTATTTCCGTATAGAACTCACGTTGAGAGCATGTCCAAAGGAAGTGTTAAAAGTGAGCTCACAGAGCCAGTAAAAAGACATTTGTAGATGCGACCTGGAGTGAAGCAAACATTTTGTAATTAAAGTTTAATTTGTAACCCTTCTATTTATGTGAACATTAACATGGTAGTTAATAATGCCTTAACTTAACTTACATGCAGTGAGAGGAACAACTCCAAGCCAGGCGAATGCAACAAGTGTATAATGAAACCAGTAGCGGATGGCTGTGCCCACACTGGTGAGGAGGCCAGCACAAATGTCCTGGATGGGCAAACGGGAGGGCATGTCTGGAGAGTAGACTGCAGAGGAAAACAATATAACTGATATTAGTGCACTTATTTTTTTATAATAAATTTATCATTTAGTACTTACTGGGGGTGAATGCAAATCTGTGCTTGCATAATTCACAATACTCCTTTCTGCTATGCTTCAGCCATTGGACTAAACTGAAAACACCAAGATTTTACATTAGAATAAACTGTAGTATTATAGTACAATTCATTGGAAATTAATTGTATTAAGTAAATTGTTATAATTACTTAATCAATGATATATCAATATCTATGTAAAGAACAAAAGTCTACAGTGCCATTTCTGATGACATAATCTCCCTAGCGGATACCGCTGTGTAGATTTAGATTACAGTGTGACGTTGAGTGGAGTGCGGACCAGGGCTCAGGGCTCAGCAGTGATAAACCATACAAACCCTTATACATAACAGGCACAAGGACACATGACATGAACATGTACTGTAGTTATGAAACATAATAAACCAAGAGGTCACTTGGAATCTTCATAAAAAGTACTGTTATCTGATTTACTTTGTACTATGTTGTAGTAGGTATACCGAAACAATTATTCAGTCAACAGCCACACTAAGGATTTTTGCATACATTTATGGATTTGCATTCACTACATTATCTGTGTTACTAACTTGAAGTTAATCTTCTTTTTAAGTCTTTTAAAAATGTCTAATTTTAGAAACAACAAGAAGACACAAAACACACCTTCTTTTGGCGCAGTCACAATAACCCCGACTGAGCTGTTTGAACCCTTTATTGATGTAATACTTAACAAGCTCAAAAGTGTGCACCATGTGTGCAATCAAATTGAGATATGATATGCATTTTTGTCAGTAATGCCCACATCAGTAAAAGGCCAGCCATGATGCTGAAAACCCTTACCATTCTTGGTGGATGAACTTAATACTGCCAGTGCAGACACATGGATGGTACAGTGGCTTATCAGGGGTCCCTTCAGAGCGGCACACACGGCAAATATCTGCTGCAAGTTTTGGAAAGAAACACATAAAAGAAAATTGTAACAACAGTAAAGCAAAGATTTAAGCAATATATAAAGTTGTAAAGTTGTAAAAGATCTTCTATTTATGTCCACAAACATTAAAGTTCGTGGACCACCTCTGCCAGTGCCACATTTGTCCACCTTCAGGAGAATTTATTTTGAAGCTCACTGCTCAAAAGTCATTTACATTAGACAAACAAGAAAAGCTTGGAGTATTGTGCAAATGTACAATTGTGTAATATACAGATTTTTATGTGCCGCTAGTTCCTAGATACTTATGGCTGCCCATGCCGTTAAAAACAATAAAATTGTTTCATGCTCAAAACTCTCAGTCTTAACTAAATGTAATTTTGAGTAGGTGAGGTGAGTGACTATGTAACCCCATGGGAGCTTTATTATTTCTGTAGAAATCTCCAAACACAAATGTTCAGTCTTATTAAATTTTAATCTATAGTCTTTAGCTATCACGTCTTTGGTTATTAAATAACACCTCTTTCTAAAGAAGTT